GCTGTCAGCAGTCCCGTCCGGGATCACTCACGGTGACACGTGCTTCACGGTGCTTTAAGCTCTTCATGACGCCACTGCGGTACTTGTCCAGGGGGGAGAATGTAAGGCTGGGTGGGGGGCACTGAAAGGGTTTGGATGAATAAAGCTCATCCACTTAATACACAAAAAGAATACCGACGTAGCAAATATTGGCGTGTTCGTGATCAGCACCATGAACAGACGTCACCATCACATTGGCTCAACAGGGAATCCTCCAAGGACAGCCTGATAAAAAGCGGTTGTTCTTGCTGGGCCCGCTGAGCTACGTCTGCCTAATGGCGTCCTGGTCGTTCAGGTCCGAGAAGACACAGCGACTGATGAGGCCATGCCGCAGGGAAGCTGGCCGAGAGCTCTTCTGGGAGCCGTTTGAGGTTTATGCGACGTAGCTGCCACATATCATTTATGCCACTGCATTAATTAGTTAGTAAGTGGGTTTTAAGAGCGTATGAAATGCAGGGGTTATTTGCTTTTTTACGGCAATAGTCCGCAGAGAAAAAAAAGTACTGACATGAACGGAAAATGCGACCAGGCATGTGTAATCCAGACCATCAGTTTCTTATCACAAAGGTTAAAAATAATGTTCCGCATTTGAATATTTAAAGGAAGGTATCAGATATGGTGTCATAAGCTCACTTGCGCCAATCGGTTTACTTCGAAGTACTAAAGACCGCTCTATACAACATAATTTGACGCTTTAGTAAATGTATCGCCCAATACGTCATCGTTTCAATACATAATACGCCGTCTTTATGACGCCGAATCGCTGCCGGACTGACCGTGTCAGGACATCCACTGAAGGGGACGGGCTCCCTCACTCGTAGTGTTTAAACTTGCCGAGAGGTGGCGGCGTGTTACTGGAGCGTGTTCGCGGGACCAAATATCGTCATGTGGCCGTGTTTTCAGCCTTTTTTGAAGTGCTCTTGCATATGTGTCAATGATTTTATACTGTATACTTGCATTCACATAACCGGCAATTGCGCTATCTAAAGTTATTCGATTCCCAGTTAAATTTTCATCGTAACTTGTACCATAGTCCAACATCCTGCATTATGCAGCACATTACGCAATTCGTGTTCGGAGCTTGCACTGAACGCATCACATAGGCTAGAGCCAATTGCAGTACGTTGATGCCGGGAATTGTGCTGAAGGACGCCAGACACGAATAACGCGATTATCATATTCTGATTGACCTTGAACGCCATGGTCGTCCGTCTCAGTAGCCCAGTTGGTTAGAGCGCCCGCCTTCCTTCCCATCCACCCGTGAAAGGGTGGGTTCGGGTTGTTCCGGGCGCTCGCTATTTGCCCTTGACAGATATGGTCTGCGGCTGGTGGCAGCGGTTGCGTTAAACGTGGGTGGGATGGTCCGTGCCGAGCGTTGTGATAAGTTAAATTTTTGCCATCCACTTCTGCCGCGGACCTGGAATTGCAATTTGCAACGCCGGATGGCAGGGATCAGGGATCACGAAACAAGCCATGCTGAGCGTGATCTCTGATTCCAGGAATCCATCCATTCAAAAGACATGGAGTTATCTAAATAAAAACAAAACAAGCCTAATTAAGTGATCGTATTCCCCGGACGTTTCTATGGTGTCGTGCAAGTCTGGGTGACCTTGAACTAGTATTCGCATGTTCGCAGGCATCAGGCTCAGAAACCAGGGGGTTTAACTATTCAAAAGGGCAGGGCTGTGAACTGCACCGAATGATCTTCAAAATCGCTGTCTCATTTCAAACCACCATATACGTGCGGGACGCTCATTTTAAGTACCCTCAACATTGCACAGCAGGACACTGGTTTCGACGACCAGATGAACACGCCCCAAGCTAAAGCCATCATCACATAGCCAACACTGTTCACTAAGTAAAAAACAAAACAAAACAAGGATGACAAGTGTCCTATAACGCAATAATAGCAGCACAACTGCATTCCCCTCACCGCCCAACTCCGGCCGCGCACCCAGTCCAGCCCCCACGAGTCGCAAGCCTCGCAGCGCGCTGACCTTCGCCTGCGGCGGCCACTACATCCGTCGGGGTCACGGACGCCGCAGACCCGCCCTGCCGCCGGGGCACCTCCCACGGCGCCGCACCGGCCGGGGGGCGCCCGGTCGGCCAGACTTCGACACCGGCCGCTACTGACAGCGGGCCGGAGCCGCGTCAGGGGGTGGCGGCTGCTGGAGACGCGTGCGGAGTGCCGGCCGCGCGTCGCCCGGTTCCATTAGCCATGGCCCGCAGGCCGCTGACAGCCCGTCCACAAGTTGGGCGTCTCCGGGGCGCGGCGAGCGGAGGTGAAGGTGGTGCTCGCCACGGCCCGGCGGTGACGCAGGACGGACGCGCCAGCGGAGCACGGGGGCGGTGCAGGTGGCGGCCTGCTTTTGTCTGGGTCACGTTGCGGAAATCCAGCCAGTTCTGAGACGATTCCCGTTGAAAGGGTCGCTATAGTGTTCATCACTGTACAGCGACCAGCAGCCTGGCGACGCCGCGTCACGGCGACGCGGCGTTGATCTCAGGACGAGGAATGTCATGCATCAGAGGTTGACCACTGGCGGTGCTTCGCCTCTCCAGCACCCCCACGTACAAGCCCTTCCAACATGCACCGCTGAACACTGCGGCGGCGGCATGCGTACATAAATAATATCCAGATTAAGAAGCACCACCTCGCCACATAAAACATATGCCTGGACTGTCGCCTCGTCTGTTGCCTTCAACTGTTTCACTTGAACAGATTGCAATATCTCCAAAACCGAAATGTTCATTCTCAACTTACAGCACTCCAATACTGGGAACGATTACTCGACGCGGTCCGGCGGATAAGAGTTCTCCCATCACATCCAGTGGAGATATCTGGTGCCACCCAGACGCCGGCCTAACCCCAGAGAGTGAGTGTGGAGCATGATGCCAGCCAGTGGAGATATCTGGTGCCGCCCAGACACCGGCCTAACCCCAGAGAGCAAGTGTGGAGCATCATGCCAGCCAGCGGATATATCTGGTGCCACCCAGACACCGGCCTAACCCCAGAGAGCGAGTGTGGAGCATCACGCCAGCCAATGGATATATCTGGTGCCACCCAGACGCCGGCCTAACCCCAGAGAGCGAGTGTGGGGCACCATGCCAGCCAATGAATGTATCTGGTGCCGCCCAGACACCGGCCTAACCCCAGAGAGCGAGTGCGGAGCACCATGCGAGCCAATGGATATATCTGGTGCCACCCAGACACCGGCCTAACCTCAGAGAGCGAGTGTGGAGCATCACGCCATCCAGTGGATACATCTGGTGCCACCCAGACGCCGGTCTAACCTCAGAGAGCGAGTGTGGAGCATCACGCCATCCAGTGGAGATATCTGGTGCCACCCAGACGCCGGTCTAACCTCAGAGAGCGAGTGTGGAGCATCACGCCAGCCAGTGGATACATCTGGTGCCGCCCAGACACCGGCCTAACCCCAGAGAGCGAGTGTAGAGCATCATGCGCCGTTGCTTCTGCACACCGGCCGAGTTCGCCAGATAGCGTTACCACGCCCCGCCAAACTTAACGGCAGCTGGCGCAGGTGCGTCTTCCAACTTGAGCAAGGGGCCCATTAATGGTCTAGACTTCTTGCTTTAAGCACATTCACTTTTTACCGGTGCTAGCGATCTTCGTACTAATTTCTGCAATTTCACCTTTTTCCGGTGCTAGCGACCTTCGTGCTAATTCTGCCATCATAAATTTTAATGCAATGAAATTCTATTAAATGGAGACCTAATAAGATATCCCATGGATGATTCAAATCAATACACCAATGTCGAGGTGGGCAGGTAATCTGAAACAGAACCTGAAGCTAAAGCGAGGCCCGTTTACCTAAAGCATTGCCGGAAACGCGATGGTAACGTGTTTTCTCTAAAAATTAACGCAGGCCAGGTGGCTGGAATTAATATCGGTGCCAGCCACTTCTCTTCAACAAAGTAAGCCCGCGCTCTCCACCAACAAAGTCCGTAATCCGAAAATCTCGCCGATTACGTCTGTCAGTAACCAGGCATTTCTAGCGCAACACTCGTAATCCCAAGACAACACGTTTAGCCCCGGACAGACGCCGGTTCCTGAGCAGCCACGCACCGCCCCAGGACCGGCCGGCTCTTGCCAAGGGTCACGCGCTTGGCCGTAAGACCCCAGCCCATGGCTTCAACGCGGCCGGCCGGCGGCAGGTCATTCTAACCAGGCGGCTCCAGCGCACCGCCTGTGGGCCCGCTCTGACCCGGCGCCTCTGACAGACCGTCTGTGGGCCCGCTCTGACCCGCTGGCCCTGGCCGACCGTCTATGGGCCCGCTCTGACCCGGCGGCTCTGACAGACAGTCTGTGGGCCCGCTCTGACCCGGCGACTCTGACAGACCGTCTGTAAGCCCGCTCTGACCCGGCGGCTCTGGCAGACCGTCCGTGGGCCCGCTCTGACCCGGTGGCTCTGACAGACCGTCTGTGGGCCCGCTCTGACCCGGCGACTCTGACAGACCGTCTATGGGCCCGCTCCGACCCGGTGGCTCTGACAGACCGTCGTCTGGCGATGGGCCACCCGTGGCTCCATGGTCCTGGGCTCCCCGGCCCCACGACGCCTCACAAGACGCGCAATCGCAACTATTTGGAGTGGACGACACATCCATGGCTACGTCTACCACTTTCGCCCAGTATTTGTTTGCGCAGTACTGTCTTCTGGTGGCATGGCAGCGCTTAGGACATGCGTCGCTTTGACGTCTATGCTGCGTTTCACCGTGAATAAAAAATAGTCAATAACACAATAACACATCAAATAACACATAAAACCATTATGATTGATTGATTGATATGGTAACCCATCATAACATACTTCCGCTTTTCCTTTTGACAAAATATTCCCCACTCCTTCACGTGTATCTTTTTCGGACTTCAAGGAACCTGCCAGCTTGCATCAACAAGCCACAGGTTCCCGCCGGACGTCCCGACAGTGCAGTGGCTAACGTACCTATAATCTCCGGTTCCCACTGCAGGCAGAGGGTGGTGCAGAGCGAGTCGTTGACGAACGTCCAGGCCATCTGCACACACTTGTGCAGCTTCACCTTGTCCCCTGCACAATTGGCCGACCGGTCAGGCGTCACCCGAGAAAAGAGAGGGGAGGGGAGGGGTAGGGGCTGAGCACAGAGCGACACAAGGCAGAGGCCGCGCACGTTCGGAGTACAAGTGACAGAGAACGGCAGATACTCCGAGCCGCTCGTTGAGTGAAACGCTGTCATCCGCCCACAGGCATGCCTGAGACCGGTCAGGCGTCACCCGCGGAGAGAGAGGGAGGGGAGGGGAGGGGAGGGGAGGGGAGGGGAGGGGAGGGGAGGGGAGGGGAGGGGAGGAGGCGAGGACAGAGCGACACACAGCATATGCCGCGCACGTTCGGAGTACAAGTGACAGAGAACGGCGGATACTCCGAGCCGCTCGTTGAGTGGGACGCTGTCATCCGCCCACAGGCATGCCTGAGACCGCATCACAAAAGCAGACCAAAGGATCCCGGATTCTGAAAGCCATTGAATGTATCAGGTGGGATCCCGGCACGCCTCTGGCTACACGTATGCACAAGGCAGCGTTGCGAGACAGCGCTGTAGGATGAACAGTGCGATATGCACGTCATCACAACACATTGGAACAACGACACGTTTGCGGATTAGAGCTTAAGCCACGGAGCCAGTCACACCCAGCCCCTTGCGTTCAGCTCCAATCTTAGGTCACATCGCATTGGACCAGTAGGTAAGTTAAGCCGCTTTGCGTCCGTCCACTAAACTTCAACGAGGGGCGTTTAGGGGAAGGCATCAGTTTCTGGAGCAGGGAAAACAGCTATCGAATTCCGTGTCATAAGTTTAATGAATGTGTTCTCTGGTCAGCAGAGGCCAGGACATGTTAGCATTGGGCTTAATCCTCATGGCTGCCGCAAATAAGCCGTCGCGCGGCACCACGGCCTTCACCTGGCTCCACCGATTGATTGCGCGCGGGTAACATGACCGTACGCACCTTTCAGACATTTGGCGTATTTGATGAGGTAGGTGTACGGATGGTCCACCTGCAGGTCAAACTTGATTGTCTGCAGCAGAATCCGCTCCATAGTCATGACCTCCTCCTGTTGGCAGACCATCGGGCGGAGAGGTGAACGGGGCAGCCGTGATATTTCGACGACGTGATAGGTTATATCATGACATGTTCGCAGCGCCCTAGCTCTTTCCATAAGTTTTGTCATTGTATTCTATATTCAGCCGATAAAATTCTGGTTTATGAACACTTCAGCAGTTTGGTTATATATGGGTGACTTGAACATACCTTCAGACAGACCAGCCACCAGTCCCACTTCCAGCAGGCGCGCTTCCATAAAGCTTAAACGTCACCTTTGGACCACCCTTCCCCCTCCCCCGGGCATATATACATATTCACTTCAAACTACCCACCAAAAACATGACAAAATAACCTCACACCGGCCGTGCTGACCAGCCAGGGCCCGGGCGGCAGACTAGCACCAACTATGGCCTGGCGCAGGGGCGCACCTTAGGGTCATCACCGAACGCCACGAACTTGGTGTCGGGCAGCAGGGTCTTGGCCACCTTGATAATGTCCTTGCACTTCTTGGGCGTCTCCTCCACCTTGCCGGCCAGGAAGAGGCAGCAGCAGGCGGTCACCTGTGGCGCAGCGGCCCGACCGACGTGAGCGACGCTGTCGTCAGGCACGCCCGCCCCCATCCCACTTGTGACCTGGGTCTCGGCCGAGCGAGGCGAGATCGCCGGAGGCACGGGCGCCACATGCTCGCGCGCAGGAGACAGATATCCTGGCCGGTTACGCACACACATACACACTTATACCATCTCGGTGAAAAAGTCACGCCGTCAGGGCTCTAACGAATCTTCTCACAGGAGGTGCAGTGACCGCATGCGTGCGGTGAGTTCCTGGAGCAGGAAAGCTGGATCCGGTCCTACAGCCACCGTCAGTAATATAAAAAGAAACCTGGGCGAATAACAAGGGCAATGCCACCCGTAATTGTAATCCGAGAGCACCCATAACGCACGGATTCCGGGAACATGATTCGCTTCTTGGATTTGCCCCCCGACCACACCTCAGCCGGGACAATGACGTCACTGACTGGTGACGGTTCGAGCGTCGACATTAAGAAGCAACATAATCGCACCGCTTACCTCGCAATGGTCCGCTGCGAACATTAATTGGCGACAGGTCGGACAACCTCCTGTTGGGCTGGCACACGAAGCCGCGCCGCCAACTAACCGTCCATTGTGTAGCATCAGTGGCTCGGCTCTGTTTGGCCAGCAGCGCTTTTGACGGGTTTATGTCTTTGTGAGCTTTCTTCGAACAGCCACGAAGTCTTAAGGAACAGGTAGCACTATACTCAAAAAGGTGCGTTGTAATACCATCATAGCACTTGTATGCAAGTTTTGTGATCAAGCGGAGTTGCATACATGCGAAAGATTACCACAAATCCACATCCCGGTTCCAAGAACATGGGAAACGAAGTTTTCCCAGAAGCCTGAAGATCTGGGGCTGAAGCTCTGTGTCGGGTTGACAGGTGTAGACGGCTGCACGCCCCCGAGCACAACTTGTGGATCGGCCCGCTTTGGGCGGTTTTGCAGGCTGCCAGTTTCTCACCAACGTCTTTTGCAAACTTGCGTGCTAGCGTCAAACATTAGTGCCTCTCGATAAGACAGTAGAAATAGCCTTATGTGTGTGAATAAGGTTCCTCGCAAATGCGCTGCAGCTTACGTAATTAGTGCCCCTCTGACTGATAGTCAGGAAATATATCTGTGAGGTGCAAACGTGGAAAATACATAAAAGATCACGCTCTAGTACTTCATCGAGCAATAAGAACCATCTATAGGGGTCCAAAAAGCGACAGGCTGTGTGCCAGGGTATTCTGGTACCATCTACGCAGAGGCGCACACAGGTGGAGACACGCGAGCCACGGATACACCAGCCTGGACACTTTCCAGTTAATTCTGCTCTCTTTCACAACATTGCTACGCCCCTGTACCGATCACAAACAGCGTGCCTGACGGCGGACACGGACGCTGTGTTCTATCGAATGGATAGGATGTGTGGGTGAGATACACCGGCCAGTCCTGCACAGATTGTCACGGACCCGATATAGGATTTAATAACATATGTGTGAGCTCAAATGCCCTAGTTTCAGCGTCCGTACGAAAACATCATCTGAAAAGACTGCAATGTCGTCACAAAGGTCCAGTGAAAGAAGAGGGATTCTGAAACTCGGGATATACAGATGCACCATTCGTAAACATGAGAATACGTCACGTCACAACACTATTTCTGAGCCTCAGCCAGCATCACGAAAAACCGCATTCCAAGCGCGCCGCGTTGCGTCCCAGGTTACTCACGTATCTGTCAAACTCCTTGAACGAGTGGAACATGTAGAAGCGGTGCATGAAGACGACGCCGGTGGCCACCGTGTCGTAGCGCAGGCCGATCTTATTGCCCAGGTCCATGATGAAGCGGGCGCCCTCCTTGCGGTAGCGCATCTCCGTCTCCTGCGTGATGGCATCCTGAGCCGACGGCGTGCTCTTCAGGTCCTTGCGCTTGTAGAACCAGTACACCATGATGGCGGCGACGGTCAGCGGCGGGCAGCAGCTGACAGCGGAGGCGGTCAGCGGCGAGCAGCAGCTGACAGCGGAGGCGGTCAGCAGCGGGCACCAGCTGGCGGCGGCGGTCAGCGGCGAGCAGCAGCTGACAGCGGAGGCGGTCCGCAGCGGGCAGCAGCCGACGGCGCGATGGCCGATGCCCTGCAACAGACGGCGCGTCGCCATCAGTGCAGCACACACCATCACCATAAATATTATGTATAACTAAATACAAGGTCAACATCCATGCTGATTTCTGTCGGCAGCCTTGCTACGCACACTTATTTTTTATCCGGCACTTTTGACGTTCCGACTTCCGCGCTTCCGAAAAAGTGCAACTGAAGTGACCCCCCAACTGCAAAACTTATCACGAAGGCGAGACCAGCGCGTGCGGTCCGACAGAGGACGAACGTGCGCAGCGGGCCGCGGACGCCAGCCTAACAACTCTGTCCCCGGGCAACTCCTGCGGCTAGCCACGGCTCGGTCTCCGGTGCTGTCTCCAGCGCGAAACAACAACGCCAGCGCCCTAAACACATGCCACACACGCCGACAGGCCAAACGGAGGTGCCCCATTCGTCTGGCGGCAGTCAAGCCAGCCGTCGGGAGGTGCGGGGTGCTGCCACGGGCAGTGAGATGGAGCGCGCTGGGGACGCCGCGCCGGCCCGCGGCGAGCCTGGTAACCTGTGCAGCCGATCTGGCAAGGGACTTGGCTGGGGCCGATCCGTCCAGAATTTAGATGGGTGTTTACAGATGTTGGGGCACCTGTGTGCAGTTCGTTACAATTGCGAGTAGCGATACAGCTGTACGCCAAGGGCACCCCAGCAGACTGGTGTGGGAGACAAGACCCCCATAGGACAAAACAAGAGTGAAGTGTGACCCACGCAGAAGTTAGTGGAATACAGTGTTTAAGGGTGCAGATCACAGATCAAAGTTCTTATGACCTTGTGCTGACTGTGTATCCTAAGATCAAGGCCAGTGCAGAGCACTGCACACGCCTGCTCACGACCTTTCTGGCCAGATCGATGTTAGGGTGCTACAGGGCAGGTGGACACATACCTGGGGCTCCCAAAAAGATCCTGGGTATCATTAACATGGAACATTATGGGATCCTGGATTTGGCCTAGGGAGCCAATCACATGTCTAGCCTGACAGGGTTGCACTTTTGACTGCTCCAGGTCACAAGCCACAATATTGATCATCTGGATGCAGGAGACTCGGATACTAGACACCAGCCTTCCACAGTTTGAAGCATGGTGATCTGTCTATGCTGTGTGGAGGAGAAATACCTGGATCATTCTAGTCATTAAAGTTATCAAACAAGCCTGGATCCTCCCAATCTCACAGCCCTTCCTACCTTGCATGCGCTCTTCTGTGCAAACTTCAAACATTCATCAAAATAAGCTAGGAGCCATGGGACATCTGCATATACATTATATGTACATAAAAGGGTATCCTACCTGTAAATCCACTTGCTGGAGCCATGTGAAATACTAAATACAATGTCTTAGTGAAGCTGTATCATGAACAAGCTGACAGCATGCTAGTGTTTTCAGACATAGATTAAAGCCCATTTCCTGACTTACAAAAAAGCCACCAAACTCTGTGAACTCATCTATCAGGTGTGCTGCATGAACCATATACACATTCTGCCCACTGGTGACTTTTGCTATCCACACTATCTATCTAGGCAGCAGAAGACAAATTGCTTTGTTATGTCCCATTAAACATGACATACATGACACTGACAGACACACTAAAGCTTAGCAATGTGGCAAACAACCTGTTAGACTGTGGGGTTCATGCTGTGTGGTGTTTCTTCAAACAACTAATGTATGTTGAAACACCAGATATTCTTAATTTTACATTTGTCAGCATCAACAGGAACATGATGGTGGAATGTCCATAAAAGGTGGCTGTAAAGGCTGGGTGAATATGTCACATCATGTTGCAATTTGGACTTCAGTGATACATGGTCAGGTAAAATGCTAGCAACCATCTTGACTATAATTGGAATAACTTGGCTTGAGGCAGGCTTATACCTGTCTGGTTGGAGTTGACAAATTCTGTGGGAGAGGGTAGGATTATGTCATATGTACCACCCAGTTTAACACCAAGCTCAGTATCTCAAAGTGGACTTGACATCAGCAGCACCTACAAGTCATGTGGTCTTCCAAATGGCAAATGCTGTTAGGGCAGGGCAGGGCAGGGCAGGGCAGGGCAGGCAGGGCAAGGCAAGGTTTAGGGCATGGATAAGGGTAAGGGTAAGGGTACTGGTAAGGATAAGGGTGAGGTTAGGTAAGAGTAGAGTAGAGTAGAGTAGCCTAGATAAGGTTATGTTATGTTATGTTATGTTATATTATGCTATGTTATGTTAGGTTAAGTTAAATTATTTAAGGTACAGACATATGAGATCAGATAAGGCAAGGCAAGGTAAGGTAGAGTATCAGGCAGGGAGATAGCAATGATAAACTTCAGGAAAGAGTAGCCTTGAAGCCATGCTTGCTTATATGAGCTTATATACAGCACACAGCATACCACCAACTATCTAACATATGCCACCCTGCATCAGTCATCAGTTAGAATGATTGCATTACCCAAAATGATAAAAAAGAAGAAATAAAACAAATACAGCATAGCTAAATGCATATTTACAACATACAACTGAGCTTGGCACATGCCTGCTCCAGGTCCAGCATATCAATTTCACTTTAACATGCTGAGCTGTAAATCACTTTGCTGCAGGCTGGTGACCAGTCACATAAGTGTTTTCATTTTTTGTGAAAGCCAATGTTCATGTGATGCCAAACAGCACACTCATCTGAGCTGTATTATAAACAGGATTGGTACAAGAAGGGGTCCCCTGTGTAATGAGTATTTTTCTTGATCATTACCATATTTGCTGGAAACAAGATTGCCTGACAGCCAGATTGCAATAAATGTATGTGGTGAGCATGTCCAGCAAAGCAGTGACATCATCAAAAATCATCATCACATATACACTGTAAATGCAAGCACTCAAAACTTGGTCCAAAACTGCCACCAATTTTAGTGCACAGGCCCACAGCCTGCAAAAACCCACCCATCACACTAGACACTGACAAAACATTATCACTCTGAACCTCATGCCCTGGGTGCTGTACCAAATGCAAACCAGTTCAAACTGTGCTCAACTATCTCAACTCAAGCTATAACAACATTATTTCAGTGGAACTTTCGCCTGAGATTACCTTTGCAACATCATAATTTCTTGCAAAAATATTTCCGTGCATTTGGTGGCACTCATGTGCCAAGCTCTAAGCACACAGATTTACAAAGCATATGTGATTTTAGCTACAATGTCTTGCCACAATGCTAGCCATGGATGCTGGACATGCCAGCATAAAGCATATCTTTTGCAGTCTGGCATTAGCCCCACACAACAGTGAACTATGTTGCTGTGAATGCCGCTTCAGACTAAAAATCTCACAAAACATTTGTCATGCAGCAACTTCATAGTTCAGCACAATTTGGTGTAGCCTGATTTGACACACACAAGCATGGGGTTCAGAGTACCAATGTCACATAGATGTCTGTAGATGGATTCTTATGCAGACTGGCCTTGTGGGTGGAATGACATGAACTGCATAAGCAGGTAAAGCCTCATAAGCCATTGCATTCCAAAATGCCACTTCTAGGATACAACAACACATATGACTGGCGTCAAAGCGTGTCGTCATATTTAGCATAGCATGGCATGTCGTAACATAGCATTATGCCAAAAGGAAAGCCGGTTAACTACCTACTTTGGGACAATTTTGATGCCACAGCACCACGGTTTGCATCCTGTGCCGGCCCAGAGCGGAACCCCATAGATGTCCCCTTACTTACGTGTTTGACTGGGAGTCTCCACCCTTAGATGCTTTAAATGGGATTACACCAAATATCTTGCTGGTCAACCGCACACAGCCCACACATCCCCACCACGACTCCTGTTAAAAATTCACTTCAAGGTTTCCTTCAACGCAACAGCTATCCTTCTTGCTGCCATGCATGTCAGCTCAGCTGATTGATGACGTCACAAAAGGCGATATGCGTGCACTTTGACTTTCCACGCAATGCAAGCATAGGTACAGAGGAAGCAAGAGACAGTGGGAAAGTGTATGCGGCCTACGCAGTTTCACCGTGATTGTTCATCATCAGGATTGGTGAAGAGGGTAGATATTATCCGGTCAAAATCCCAGCGAAGATAAAAAACGTTCATAATGCGGTGCATCACTCATGCCCGATTACTCAGTAGCAATGCATGGACGTGTCGGATACGCGGCGCTCTTGGGAAATGCGAGATGATTTTAGAGTTTTTGTGGAGAACCTGTCTAGCTTACTTTTTGAATACGTCCAGGGCAAAGGTTTGGTACATAGGTTGAGTGAGTTACATGTTTGGGTTTGTTTTGAAAGTAAAGTAGGGCCAAGGTGTTACTGAAACTGATACTTCACAACTGAAATGCATAATACAATGACGTTGTGCTTTCATTTGCAAGTGCTTCATGGCATGTCATTATATTATACCATTGCCAGTATGCTAAATAGTACTCAAGGGACAATATGGATTTCCTGTGTTAGGTCATAGCTACATGCTGCAAGGTACCACTTGTTGAACTGCTTCCTATTTGAAATATTACAAATTGTACATCAGTCAGGTAGGTGTCTGGGAGAGGCAATGTAGTACCCATATTATGCACCACACAACACAACAATAATACAACTCAACTCATCTTGTCCACAGAGAAAAGGTCTTCAAATCTTGCTGCATTCCACAGCCCTAAACTGTTGACACAATCCCTGAGGCTGGTCCACATTAGATCCACATTACCATAAGCCCTTCACCTAAGTTTCAATAGCAAAAGCTGTTCTCTGAAATGTCATTTCTAGAGAAGTTAAAACAATGCAATTGCCAAGTATATTGCAGATGCTATGTTTGTTCATCCTTAACTTCTACTGTTTTGCATTGACAGGAAAGCAGAACTTAGATAGCTAGATAGGTCAAATAGTTACACTGGATTCACACAAGTTTTGTTAGATAGTTGAGGTCTTCATCAAGAAGATGCCCTATCCCCATCATTTTGGTAAGGTATGTTTAGTCTTGTACACTACTCACTGTATTGCTTATGTAAAATGAGGTTATTCTTTGTTCCAGGTTTTCTACAATATATTCATGCCAATATGTGGTGGATTAGTTTTATGAGTCATTAAACTACTTTGATGCATAGTTCATACTCTTGTCACTGTAGCCTGGCTACCGGTTGTTGCCTTTGAAGGTGACAGAATGGAAAAAGAAAAGGTACGTAGGTGGTTTGGTCTTTGATGTTAATTAGCGAATGTGTTCACCAAATTAATTGTGCTGAAGATAGTAGGATGTTCAAAGGCTATCATCAGCATCATTGCCAGTCATATATTTCATTGAACCCTATGATGTGTTTCAGACTAGGAATTATCACACCTCATCACTGCATTATCACTCAATTTTTCATCAACTCTTCACATGTCTTAATCTCACTGAATTTCAGCAGTGTTATACCTAAATAAAAACACTTAAAATACTTATTTGCCACCTGTCAAACTTACTTCTTACACTATGTGTCAAGCATGTAGGCAATGAATTACTTGCACCCACATACTCCTGTTTGATTGCAGGAAGGTACAGAGAAGAATGGGGAACAAAGTGTTATCAGCACTGCCCATTGAGTGGGTGGTACTGGCAACAGTGGCTGTGCACTTGGCCCTCTGTCCTTACACCAAAGTTGAGGAGAGCTTCAACATGCAGGCTGTGCATGATATCCTGTATCATAGCACTGATATAAGCCAGGTAGGTGCATATACATTTGGCAGGCACTTACCTGCTCTTTGGAAGAAAGACAGTGAAACCAGTGTGTTCTATTGTATTTTTTTCTTCAATTGTCCAATATGTTGGATCATCTTAAAACCACTTGAGCCCACCCTGCTATGGCCAAGTAAATTCAAAGGCAGGTGCTCTAGTCAACTGAGCCTTTAAGATAGATGAGAGATGGCAGCCATGTTGTCACCGATTACCACCTGGGGCTCATCCCCATCAGAAGGCATGTAACCTGGTGGTCTTGTGTCACCAGTACGACCACCTGGAGTTCCCCGGCGTAGTGCCGCGCACCTTCCTGGGCCCGCTGGTGCTGGCCTGCCCTCTCAGCGCCGCTGGCCGCCGCCGGCCCTCTGGTGGCCAGCAAGTTCGCCATCCAGTCCGTCGGTCAGTCGTAACAGAGTGTTGAATGTCGCTCCCACATCTGCCTTGGGAAACCAGGGAGTGTATAGCTCTTGCTGACATTAAGAGCGCACCAGTAGCATGGGTGCATGACCCAGCTGATTCTGAATGGTCCCTGCCATGCCAGTCAGGCTGGAATTTCTCATCAGCCTAGGCAGCTAGGAACTGTGCATGGAGACCATAAGGACAATCAACATTGAGCTCTGTGGAGCACAGACGCAAGCTGCATTGTAGAACCCATCCTGCAAGCATGCTTATTATTTAGGATTTTGTGTTTCTGAACATGTTTAACAGGTGAAATTTACTGATGATGATACATTCTGATACTTTAACTTTTTAGATTTTATCAGAACCTTTTGAATGGATGAATTTCTGGGGTCAGAGCTCACGCTAAGCATTGCTGGTTGTGTGAGCCCGGACTTTTGCCATCCGATTGCGCAGTTCGATGTCAGCGGCAGAGTTAAGTGGCGGAAAGTTTAACAATGCTTGGCGTGGTCCGTCCTGCCCTCTGACGTCATTCGACCTTTAGCGCGGCCGCTGTCTCTGGCCGCAGGCCACATCCGCCAAGGGCGAATAGCGAACGCCCAAAGCGACTCGAACTCTCGAACTCTGGCGCTCTGAGCAACTGAGCCGTCGGGACGGGTTTTGTGATATCATTGTCTCCTGCGGACAAATCTTTGGAACTGGAACAATTCAGCCCACACACCCATGTGGTGATATTCACAAATGTAGCGCTTGGTGCTCGTGATGGTGAAATCGGCTTCTCGTCCTCTGAAATCGGTTTGCGGGAATTCTTCATGAAGTCGCTTTCTGGTGGGAACTTGCCATCCCATAATGACCTTCATGTGTTGTTATTGCCCAACTAGTTGTTTCGAGTGAGGGATGCCGGTGGCATAGCGGGTAAGCTGCGCGTCTGGTAAGCCAGTGGTGCGGGGTTCGATTCCCCGCGGTGCCCGCCCCAGCCAGTGTGAGAGGAAGGCGACGCCACATAGCCCCAGCAGCTGAGTGTGTCGTCTCCAGTGACACACAGGTGGTCCTAATGGGCATGTCCCACTCTTTCTCAAACATTTCCTTGTTCCTGGTCTGATCACAATGCAAGGCACATGCTGGCTTCCGCAGCACACTAGCCTGAGTGACCTGACAGTGACCTGACAGCGACCTCCTGTTTCACAGTTCGGATGATGCTTGGCTCTCTTTCCGTGTGCGCCTTCTACCGGTTTCGCCAGAGCGTGGAGTCGGTGTTCGGCCGCCAGGTAGCCACGTGGCTGGTGTGTGTGACCGTCACGCAGTTCCACTTTATGTTCTACCTCACCAGGACTCTGCCGAACATGATGGCGATGCCTCTCGGTAAGCATGTTTTGCGATGGAGTGACGGGCATGCTAACTTTAGTCAGATGTCATGCCTCGACCTAATATTCAGTGGACAATGTGCGACGTTACTCCTGGAATTCCTGTTTTGGGACTCGCTCTAGTCTCATTTCGTCCGTAATTGTTATTTGTATTTGCTATGGGTCCGTCCGTAAATAATGTCACAATAGTTGTAATGTGGCTGTGTGTAGATGCCATTAATCTGGTCAAGCATGTCCTTTTGATATTCTCCTTGCTGTGGCGCACCGTGAGCTGAATCCTTTGTTGGCTTCTGGGTAACTGATTTCACAAGGTACATGAGCAAAAGGTCGTGCATGATAACACACTGATACAACGTCAAGCACATCAAAAGTTGCGGCGACTCATTTCGACTTCTTTTGTATCGTTATCCACGCCGGCTATTCGCTCTTTATGCCACAAAGTAGGCAAATTGTTTGATTTAGCTTGGACATAAGGCAGACCGTCAGGCTTATGTGGTACCAGCATTGCGGCACTTCTGTAGGCATAGCGTTATGTCTCTGCACGCCGAATTGAAAAAGTGTTATGTTGGAAGGTTTGCGTTGTTCTGCGGTAGCGCGTCCGGTCAAAAGCTGTTTTTCTGATGGCAACCTTTTATCTTCTTCAAGCTGCTACATATTGCCATAAATGTATTTTACTTCATCCATTACCATTTAGCATTGCATCCAAGTGGCTGCCTGCTCGGCCCGCCCGTCCAGCCGTACCGCTTCACCGTCCTCTCTCTCCCTCTTCCACACGTGTCGGGTCCGCCCGCACCGTCCGCGGTCCAGCTGCAGCGTCCCAGTGTCCTCTCTTCTGCTTCAGTTCTGCTGGCGTTCAGCTTCTGGATGCGCCAGCAGCACGGGCCCTTCATCTGGTGCTCGGCCGCCGCCATCTTGATTTTTCGCAGCGAGCTGGCGGCTTTGCTCGGTATCCTGCTGCTGATGGAGCTCTGCTCGCGCCGGTTGGGTATCTTGCGGTACGTGTGGCTGCTGTGAGGCAACAGCTCTTTGTTTGTAGTGCATCTACGTGGGCGTCCTTCTTCTGACGCAGCTGGTAGCCACGTGCCAGCAGTTGTGTAGTTCGCACTCACATGGTTGAAGTGCGACGTTACGAATAGTAGCTTCGATCGTTGCTTGTTCACGTTGCCAATACGCTCGTGTGCACAACAGGTGCAAGTGTTGTGTTATGAACGGCTAATGGCTGCAGAAGAATGGACGTTACGATTCAGGATCGCTTGACCGCCTTGTATTGGCTCTGTGAGTGCCGTTTGATATAGTGTTGTTTTGATGCATCGTTTTTAATCCGCTTAAACGTATTCTTAATGGCAAACAGTTCTGTTTTAATTTAACTCCCAGTATATGGCCAACTGATCGGTAACTCCGCCTTACCAGCCGTGCCCAAATGCCTGACGCGGTGTGTGTCGGTGACGTTTGCAGGTGTCTGAAGTTCTGCGTTCCCGCCGGCGTGTGTGTGCTGCTGCTATCGGTCGGCGTGGACTCTCTGTTCTGGCGCCGGCTCGTCTGGCCTGAGGGCGAGGTGCTGTGGTTCAACGTCGTCCTCAACAAGTCGGCAGAGTGGGGCGTATCCTTTTCAGCGTGGCTCTGAAGGCCGGCTGGTGGTGGACCGGACAATCTGCCGCGCAAATAATTGGTACTGAAATTAACCCTGAATTACCCATAACAATCAGACCCCATTGAATTTGGTTTGCACGACTTGCGTGCTATTTGGTAATTGGAAATTGCGTTCGGAGAATTGCTTTCCTGCAGCGATGCCTCGTTCGACACCGTCGTAAAACTTACTGTTTGACACATCTAGAACAACGACCATCTTGCCTGGCATGGCATCACTGCGCAGCTCCGTAACACGACATCACTCCGCAGCTCCGTAACACATCACTTTACAAATCCATAGGACATCATTGAGCAGCTCCGTAACACTATAGCATTGCGCAGCTCCGTAACACGAGAGCGCTGCGCAGCTCCGTAACACAACGCCACTGCGCAGCCCCATAACATGACACCACTGCGCAGCTTTGTCCCCGCCTCGCGTAACTGCTTCACCGGCGCGCGCGGCCGCTTCCCTCCCCCGCGCCGGCCGGCGCCGGTGTCTCGCTGGCGTTTGCCTCCTTGACCAGCGCTGCCAGACGTCGCCGGCGCTCTGGTACTGGTACTCGGCTCTGCCGCGGGCGCTGGCCGCGAGCTTGCCGCTGGTGCCGGTCGGCCTGCTGGCCGACGCCCGCTGCCGGCCGCTGGCCGCGCCGGCGCTCGCCTTCGTGGCGCTCTACTCGCTGCTGCCTCACAAGGAGCTGCGCTTCATCATCTACGTGGTGCCGCTCCTCAATGTGGCGGCGGCACGCGCCTGCCACGGCATGTAAGTGTGGGCCCGGGGGCCGAGGGGATGAGTGACGGCCAGTGGGGGTCGAGGAGATTGAGGACGCGGCGTTGGTAGGGTTGATGGGTTGTGATGTTTCCTATTTATGACGAAGTCTCCAAAGAGAAAGAAAAATCGGCTAGCTTTGGCGTGCCCGGTCATATCTCCCTTGTATGGCTTATGATGTAGCCAGTGGTGTTGATGAATTTGAAGGGACATATCTGCCGAGTGGATCTGCTGAACAATGGTTGGACATTGTTTGAGACTATCAGCCTTGATCCACCCCCACAGCCCTTCATTCTTCAACCACATTGACGTATTGCAGTGCCAAAGAGTGTGGAATTGTTGAAATTTTATTGTGAAGTAATACTGTCATTGTATTGCCTGTCTGACGTCACTTTTTCACTCCGCAGCTGGGAGGGACGGCTCAAATCCACATGGAGAGCATACCTGGCCACGGCCATGTGTTGCCACCTGTTGGTCAACTGTGCGCTAACAGTTCTGCTGGCGGCCGTGGCGCGGCACAACTACCCAGGCGGCGCGGCTTTGGCTCGCCTGCACTATCTAGAGCCGGAGCCGGCTTACGTACATCTGGACGTGTATGCGGCGCAGACGGGCGTCACGCGCTTCCTGCAGCACCGCCATGACTGGAGGTCAGTTGGGCGATGGGTGCTAAAGTGAAAGTGCATTATTGCAAACAGGCAATTGGACGGATGTCGGCTGTCAGTTGAGCTGAGAATTGCAGTTGTGGTGCACCGAGACCTGATGCATCCTCAGAAGTCAGCTGTGGATGCATCAGGTCTCAGGGTTAGAATTTGATGAGCAGCCTTGTCAGCATCTGTGCCAAATCTGAGTTTGTGTGGGGACGCATAGCTGGTCATTGCACATTACTCCCCTCGACTGGAGTGTTCTATTGACGTGGAGTGGCGGAGTGATATGATGGATTAATGAAGTGGTGTATTGACATGAGGTGGTGGATAAGTGTAGTGACGCCCTGATGTAGCACAAGCCTGCCCAATGTGCACGTTGTTGGTATTTTCGATTCCCTGCCGTGCCCGAGGTCACGTTGAACTGGACTAGCTTGGAGAGGAAAGCACTGATTGCAGTCGGCATTCGCTTTCAGGTACAACAAAACGGAGAACTTGACGCCTGGTTCTCCGGAAATGCACTCTTTCACACATCTTCTGGTCGAGGCCAAGAGCAAGCGGTCCACCAGCCTGAAGCCCTACCTAGACACGCACATGATTCTGGGTTCGGTGGACGTGTTCTCTCACATCCAGTTCAACTATGCCGTCTTTCCTCCGCTTCGGCTGCGGACGCGACCCGCCATCTTTATTCTTTACAATAAGAATCGAGAAAATGTGCAGTGGGCGTCAGACGAAGGTGACGTCTATGAAGATAAGGCGGCCGAACCTCCTGCTGCTTCCAAGGATCATTCGACGACGACCAAGGAAAATATTGACAATGAGTCAAAGGAAGAAGGTCTCGACACCACTGAAAAACGCTTCGCATTTCCCGATGATGATGATGACCGTTTCGGAGGAGAGACACGTGTTCAAGGCGACTCCAGAGCCGAGCAAGAGGACGGTGAAGAGGACTCGTATTTACCGCCGGGTGTGTTGCGCTAAATAACCCCATTGCACCAGCTAATGCTTTCCACTTTGCCTTAATGAATGGGGTAAAATTCAACAATGCATGTTTGGGTGTCACAATGCACGGGTGCGTACCTCTCATTAATCCCTCGAGCCGCTGGAATCGCTTTCGAGCATTGCCAAACCGCGAAGGGCGGCTTTTTTATTTGTGACAGACTGCATGGTCAAGAAAGCTTTTCCACCCACTAGGGCTTGTGATAACCGACTAACACAACTTGGTTATGGGGGGGGGGGGGGGGGGGCGGGAAAGTGAACGCCCATGTTGTCAGCTTGATGAGCGTGGAACGGGACGAGGTTTTGTCCCATCTAGTCAGTGCCCTGTAACGCTCAGCAAAATAAATCGGGTAGCGTACATGTACCGCATTTTACTACAAGTCTGAAACTTCACAACAGCCCTGGTACTTGACGTCTTTGTGAGGGTCAGTCCGTGGGACTCCCCTGTACAGTATTTTGTAGTGCGCAAGCCGTCGCCAAATAAAGATGGTCCTCTCGTGATGCGTACCGAGTCCGTCCACACTGGCACCATTTACGCTATCAGGACGTTCCGCGCTACATCATGTGCATTTCGGTGAAGAAGCGTTAGCGAAGCGAGGCGAAATAAAAACTTCTGAAAGCATTTTCCATCTTGAAACCATCTTTGGCACCATTGCCCCAATGATCAAGCAGGAATGGCTGGCTTTGTGACCGGTTATTGTGTCCCAAACCAAAACCGAACAATTGTCCAGCGCAACTGCCGTTTGTGTATTTGGCATCTATAACCACTGGTGCGCCCGCCTTCTCCACCTCGGCCACGCCATAGCCGCGTGCGTATTTCCCTATTAGGAGTGAGATCCTCGGTAAACGATGTCCATTCTGAGACGTCCTGGCGATTGGATTCTCGAGGTCGGTGTGGGTGACAGACCGGTCATGACAGCAGCCTGGTCATGGCAAGGTCAATGGGGGATTTGAAAACATTTCTGAAACAACGCGAATGTGACATACGTAAAACCGTGCACTCTGTGTATTGTGCTGGCCAGGAACAGACGACGGAAAAACGTCAGCCTCAGCCTTCGTTACGAAACCACCACGCAACACTTACACCTACTTGGTTCTGTATTTCAGCCCAGCTCTCATCGCCGTGTACACATGCATCGATATCACGTGCGCTCGCACCTCACCAGCCACACTCCCGCTTCCACCCCTCACTTCTTCTGCGGGTAGGCCATCTTGTAGAAGAGCGTGTAGCAGACGGTGACGAGCGCGCCGGCGCACAGCGCGTACGTCAGCGAGGCCAGGATCCGGTCGGCCGGGCCGCCCTTCAGGTGTACGGGCACGCCGTCCTGGATCTGGAACTTGGCGTACTGCTGGCGCAGCTTGGCGTAGCCCGGGTGCACCTCACCCTTGGCGGCCCGCACCGTCGTGGAGGTGGTCAGCCGGCGCGCGGTCTGGAAGGCGATCTGCCGGGACAGCGGCGCAGGAGTCAGCTGTGTGTGCGTGTGTGTCACTGGGGCTCTACGACGCACCCCGCTGCCGAAGCTACGTGGCGTCGCCTACCTCTCACCCTGGTGGGAAGGACAGGAACCGCGGGGAATCGAACTCTGTACCTTCGGTTTCCCACATGCACAGTGGTAACAAAGACGCGTTAACCGCTGCACTACCGAAACCCCGGGGGGTCAGTTGGGACCGAACGTGGGGGGAGGGGGAGGGGAGCATGACACTCATGGAGGATACAAAATGCTGGCAAGCCACTTGACAAGCCACTTGATGTGGCCAGCCAGCTAGCCAAACCCTCACAAAAGGGAATGGGAGTGGAAAATAGGTCACTTAGGAGGGCACTCAGCTTCCATGCGAGAGGCCTGGGAGAGATTCCCAGGTAATGCTTCATCCTATGACTGTTGAAATAACCATTGCAGTCACTAGCACTCCATAAAGGGAAGCAGGGTATGGGAAACAATGTCTTTTTAAACAAAATATAAAATGCAGAATGCAACAATACCAACTCCAAGGCACTGATAAATCAGCTATCACATGACAGCCAAGACATGACAAATACCTGGCAAAAATATGTATATATGGCCAGATCTGTAATACCCAATACCCAATGCACACACACACACAATTCTGGATCAATGGCCAACAAATGCCTTGTACCAGCAAAGTTGAGTGATGATATGATAATGTTGTTTTTTCCAATCACATTTATGTCCACCCTTTTATCATATTTATTCATGTCAGTCTGTCCTAATAACTCAGCTAGTTAGAGAGCCTCAGTCTTTATTTCCATTATCTCTAGTCCAATGGGTATGATTCACTCGGAGCACTCTCTATTTGCTTGTGACTGGAACAGCTGGTAGCCAGTGACAATGATCACATTCAGTTGTCAGGTGACATCCAAGAGGAAAACAGACTATGCCAACAGTTGAGACATGTTAAACCTTCAGACCAAGTTTTACTGTTGACCCAGATTTTCACAACCAGGTGGTGGAGTCAGAGCTCACTTGACAAGCACTGCCTAGTTTAGGTGCTGACTCAAGAAATTTACCCAATCAAAGGTTTGGGAATATACCTTTAAAACAGTTTCCACAAAGGAGTCTTATGGTATCTACTATCTTCTTTTATTTCAAATGTTTTGCATTATGTTTATGGCTCACAACATTTGGATACAATACAAGCCCCATCTGATTCATCCACAAAAATCACAATATAGGTATGGATGGCTGTGAAACAGCTGAAGCATAGTTGCATGGGTATATTAGAAGCATGGACATTTCCTAAGCAGTCACATAACAATTGGTCATGTTTTTTGTAATATGTCATGCTAAACAAACCTAATATGTGTATGCATATATATATATATATATATGTATATATATATATATGTTAACAAAAATAAAACACCAATATTCATGTCCAACCCACCCAAGATGCCACTAGGTGCACACACACATTCCATATTACCATTACAAAATAAACTAAACATTGTCCCGGAATGCAAATCACCGCTAAATGTATGTAAGCAAATGTGATTGACAAAAAAGGGAATTGGTATATTTAGTATACATTTTCATCAGTGTGTTAGTGATGAGTGTATGCTTAAGAAAAAACTTGAGAATACACTCATGAATAAAACAGAGGAATGCATGAATAATAGTAAAAAAATAAAATAAGCCTTGGTAATAGAACAAGAATATGCAACACATATAACACTACCATCAAACAGCTCAGACAGCCACGGAAGATGTGCAACAAGGAATCCAAATGACATCAATATTGTGCCAAAATTCTGCCTGGTTCAGCCACAGATTGTTAAAGATGATATTGATGATAATGGCATAAAATCATAAGCTAGAGAAGAAACCAACCAGATAAATGAATATTCCCTAAGACTACATAGACCCCTCCAAACCCAGCTTTCTGATGCCAGTTTAACCCTGGCCTTCCAGCCTGATAATAATAAGCATTCCCTGGTCATTTACCACAAGCTACTTCAATGTATCACATAGCCTAAGATGTGCCATAGCATACCAGCCTAAAAAATATATCCACTGCACAAGACATCCATCCATGAATGCACTGAACCACAAAAGTGGTTACCTAAACCCTATTCTTACATTCACAGAGCCAAGGCCAAGGCAATAAACTGAACTCTTGTGAAAAATGTTTTGGGATATTCTGGCCCACCCAAAATCACATTCATTGACACCTTTGCTTTCTGTGCTGGAATTGGTGCTGACTGCACATCCAACCCTAAGTGGATGGGTCATGAGGTAATTGCACTGAAATTATTGCTGCTATATCAGACATGTTCAGACCTGTAGTCAGGTCATCACAGTAAACCAAAAATGATGGTGATCTCCAGTTTCATTTAAAAACATTTAAAAAAGTGGGGACGTTTTACAAGGCGACCAGAGGTGGCGTAGAGCTTCACATCGCAGCGTGCCCTGGCCAATTAATAGGTACATCAATGAAGGAGACTGATCTGCGTCGTATTCGACTCCACAGCAGTGGAATAGTTCTAAGGCGTCTACGTGTCCCACACTCACCCTTGGGACATTCATGACTCCTCCTCAATAGCTTGCTGTCGGTATCAAACCTCTTAGACCTTGGCAACTCAGTATTCGCCCTTGCGATAAATGTCCAGGAACACGGGACAACGCGCCACGGGCGGCTGATGCGAGGAGAGGGCAAAGGTTGGGATCGACTCTTGTGCGCTAGTAATGTATAAAGAAAAATCTAGAGCTGAGCAATATTGCCTGAGTAATCCAAATCAAATCCGATAACTGGGTTCTACTTGTTTTATTAGATCCTATTCAAAGTGGAAATGAAATTAAAATACACATTTTCTAATATATGCTAAAAAAGTAGGATTGTAAATAAAAATGGGTGACGAAATAGCGAAATGACTGCGATGACCTTGTCCGAGGTCTTCTACTGACCCTACTCTACCCATATCCACCCCTATGAGATGTACGAAGATAAGGTAATCTTACCGAGAATAACCTGGCCCCGCTCTCAACTCCGTTTTAGTATTGGGATTTTGTTTATATTGCGTTGGGTCGTGGCGTGCACGACGGATATTTTGGAAGGCTCATGATTCTCGGGCCCAAGAAGCTGAGAATATTTAACCATGGAATGATATCAATGCAAGTGGTTCAGATGGTAAAACGTAAAAACAAACATTGCCGAGGACCCATTTACCGAAGCAGCCTGGGCCTACGAGTCCATCGCTTCACAATTTTTCTTTTTGAGATGGTTTGGCCAGGAATGTACTCACCTCACCTGATCTTATAACGAAATAATCCCGTCAGGTCCCGGATCCAACATTGGGATTTAGGCATGCTTCAGATTCTGACATGCCATTCATGTCTATTTTTCGTTTCCACTTGTTTCACGAGGCTGTCCATGCATTTTTGGTCACACTTTTCTTTGAACTTTCCATGGACAGGCTTGCTGGGGGTGGCCATGCCTGGCTCTGAATCTGGTAATGAGACCATGCAGACTAAATGAGTACAAATGTTCTGTGTGTAAATATATAGAGAAAAGCCTGAAATGGTTCAACAACATACACTGAACATGGTTGTGCTACTTTGTTGTTTCCAAGAGGTGTGGGAAGCATCATCTTACAAGAGTAAAGATGGCCTTAAGCTTCAGTCTTCCTGCACAGAACATGACAAAACAATATAATTTTAGGTTAAGGTCATTTTAAGTTAACCCTCAAGTTTGTTAAAAGTAGAAACAACTTGCATGATCACCACATGACACTGTGGTTTGCCATTACATAAGCTGGGCCCAGGCGTCAGTGCATCAGGAATCATTACACATCTTGTGCTGCAACCTTGACTGTTTTTATGCCAACAGGAAGCTTGAAGCAGTCAGTAAAAAAATAAGGGTTGCATTCCACCCAACAATGGATGCAGCATCTTCCTGCTTTCTCTGCTTTGCTGTAGAGGTTGTTCCTGGAAGTTTTGTGAACATATGCAATGGCAAGTCCATATCTCAGTACACCCAGACAAGCCTTCCACTCAAGTTGTCTTCTATACTAGGCTTTGAGTTATCTCCAGAGGATACTGGAAAGATTATATGCTTATCTTGCTTGCATCAGGTCAATTCCTATGACCTTGCAGAGTACCAACTAAAGCAAACACAAGAAAACTTTGTAGAAGCACACAAGAGAAGAGCTCCTATGCAGAAATCTGACAATGCTGATTCATGCCATAGATCTACAAGGCAAATGTAAGTCCGGGTTACACCAATACAACAACTGTTTTAACTCGTATATGTGTGGAATCTGGTGAGCTTGTATTCAACCAAATTGTCATATCTATATGCAAAGTATGGTCTGTCTTATAAAGATGTGCTTTACAGCTGCTGTGCACTTCTGCTTTACATTCAGGGACTAGGGTCTGATAATTTCAAAAGTATGCTCAGTGTGCCAGTGATTTGTGATCCCTCCTTAATGGTTCTTTATTTTTTCAGCAGTGACAAGTCAAACAGCTGCCTTGCATGCCATAGTCAGTTGTCATCCCAAGACAGTACAAATCTCTTCTGGGAGAGAACCCAATTCAGTTTATGTTCCTTCAGTGAGAAGCTGGCCAAAGTCCTGGCTGTGGTAAGTAACAATGCATCTTGAATGTTTCAGATTTGATATATAGTTGTAACTACACATCATATTTAGCCCATATTTGCTGATGCAGGAAATATCTAAGCATAGAAGTGATTTGTTCTTGCAGGATTAGTAATGCAATTAATGTAACTCAAATTGCTATTTAGCAAATGCTGTGACTTGATGGTTAGATAAATCAACTTGGTTTGAGCATTTGGCATATTTTTTAACCCCATAATGGTGATGTTTCAGGCCACATTCTCCTGTCCAGCTTTTCCATGGTGTCACCCATTGACTATTACTACTCCACCTGAGTGGCCTTAGATGATTCATCATCATCATCATCAGGGCCCCTGCCCCACAGACCCTGGAGCCTGGCCAGCCAGGCGGCGACGGCGTCTGTCGGCACTGCGTGGCGACGCTGAACCGGCTGGATGGCCTGGGGCTGCAGCTGGCTAGGCAGGCCCGCCGGCTGCGCGCCCGGTACTGGGCGGAGCGGTCGCCCGCCGCCGGCGGCCGCGGTACGTGGCCCGACTGGACGCGCGGTTTCCGCCCTCACACGGCCGGCTCCCGCCCTCACCCGCGTGGCTGCTGCCCTCGCGCGCGCGGCTGCCGCCCTCACACGCCCAGCTCTCACCCTCACACACCTGGCTTCCGCCCTCACACGGCCGGCCGCTGCCCTCACGCTCCTGGCTCCCTCCCTTAGACGCGTGGTTGCCGCCCTCATACACACGGCTTCCTCACACGCCCAGCTCCCGCCCTCACACGCCCAGCTCCCGCCCTTCACGCCCGGCTCCCTCCCTCACCCCCGCAGCTCCCGCCCTTACACGTGCGGCTCCTGCCCCCACCCGCTCGGCTCCCGTCCTCGCGCGTGATCGCGCTCAACGTGTCGCCATGCGTATTTGCGCCCGATCTTCAGCCGAGGCCATGAACTCAGAGTACCATAAAGCATCAGTAATGAGAGTAGGGTTTTGCCATTTAGCATCGCGGAATACGGACGCTGAACTGATGCTGACAACGTAAGCGTCGGGGTATGTCGCATCGCCACTCCGGACTCCACCCCAGGCTGGAGTGTTGTGGTGGCTAGCAGCCTGCTAACAGGAGCGTCCTGACTAGCAGCGGGGGCGGGCGTCATTCGTCACCAGGTAGTCTGCGCTGACGTCGGCGTCCTCCGCTGGCAGATCCGCGTCCGACCTCCGCAGAGGGCGCCGCGGAGCCTCCGGACGAGCCTGTCGAAGGGGACGACCTGCTGCACTCGCTGGCCGCCTCCGGCGACGTGCTGCGCGCGCTCGGCCCCGGCGGTGACCTCGACCCGGCGGCCTCGCCCGGCGGAGACTCCGGCGCCCTGGGCTCAGCCGGCGGTGCCGCGGAGGCCCTGGACTCCTGCGGCGACACTGACCCGCTGGCCGATCCCTGCCCGCGCCTGGAGCCGCTGGATGGGCCGGGCGGGGCCGGCACGCTGGAGCGCGCCGCCCAGCGGTCGCCCTCCACGCAGTCGGACCGGGCCAGCTCGGTTGCCCGGGACGCGCTAGAGCCGCGCGGTGTGGACGGGGCGTGCGGCGGCTCACCGGCGGGGGCGAACGGTCTGCGCTCGTGCTCGGCCCTGGCAGATGACGATCCCATCGACTCGTCAGGCGCTGATGACCCTCTCCTGGATGACGCGTCCGGAGGGAACAGCGATGAGGATTTTGACGTTAATCAGCTGATGGCAGAGGTGAGGCATGCATTCCGTGCTTGTGTGGGCCATTCATTTTCTAGATTTTTCCTGTTTGACTCAGACTGTGATAAATGTGTTTGAAAAACGCGCGCTGCGGAAATGGATTTTTGGCGATTACGAAATCGTTTCATGCCATGCTTCTATTCAAGTAACTCTTGTAACTCTTGTAACTAACTCTTATAACTAACTCAAGTAACTTCATGCTGATCCTTATGATTGAAGTGTTCGGAGTTGAAACCTTACCAAAAGGTACCTATTCGTGTGCCCCGTTTATATCTGGTCACACGGCGTAGTGAACTCCCACCTGGCTTTCAGTGGCGACTTAACCTTCCAGTTTCGGCACTTAATGACGTGGCACGTGACTGCTGTCTCGCCCTGACCAGGCGGTGTACAGCGAGCCGGACTCGCCGCCGGCCAGCAGCGGCCGCTCGCCGCCAGGCCCCGTGCGCACCATCTACGTGCAGCTGGAGGCGCGCGGCTCGGGTGACTCTGGCCACCGCGCTACCACCGCCACCGCCGCCGCCGCCGCCGCCCGACCCCAGCGCCGCCCAGCGGCAGAAGTGGTGGAGGTCAGTCAGGGCGCTCTGGCTCCGGACACTGTCTCACGCTTATGTGTGTCTCTGTGTGTGTGTGGCCCCCCCCCCCCCCCTGTCTGGCCTGTCATCCCACTCTGACGTGTGTCCACTGCTCCCCGTCTGACCCGTCATTGTCTCTCTCTGGGGTGTGTCCCCTGCTCCCCGCCTGACCCTATCGTATATCCCTGGCTCCTCACCTTCCACCCTCCGCCGTCCGGGGCTGCCCGGCTGACGCCGCGTCTGTCGCTGCCTCCAGGTGGTCCGCCTAGGCCCTGCCGACCGGCTGGTGCCGCGCGTGCGGCCCTACCGCAAGCGGACCCGACCGGCCACCGACGCCGAGCCGCCGCCGGCCGCTGCCGAGCCGCCGCCGGCCAAACGAGGCCGCGGCCGCCCCGAAAGACGGACCAGACCGTGGTACGTCCGCCACAGCACTCTGCACAGACGGGTGAGAACCCGGGCGGGGCCAGTTGTTACGCTCAGTGTGAGCGGGGACGGGGAGGGGGCTGCGATTGACTGCTTACTTCCGTGTGCAGGAGGTGGAAGACCGTGCGAGCAGAAAAGCCGTGTGGTCTGGCTGATCAAGTGCACGCGTTACACGGAGGTTTTATGTTTTACCACGAGCGGACCTCTGCACCTACAGTTACGTTGGATGGGCCTGACCGCATCCTTCCTGATGACGCGTCACCTTGGCTCTGAGTGATCTGTGGTTGGTCCTGTTGAATGCCATGAGATGCGCACTGTGTTCGTAAACTTGCTCGCGGCTTCTTAATCAGGAAGTTGTGGCGACCAAATGAAGCATGCTGATCTTGAGCGGGTGGTGTCTGTTTCCCCAGCGGCAAGCACCGTACGTTCCGACATGTGTGATGACGCCCGCCCTGTTTTGCAAGGACTCGTATGATGACGGCCGCCCCGCTCCGTGAGGGCTCGTGTGATGACATCCGCCCCGTTCCGGGAGAGCTCATGTGATAACGTCCGTCCCGCTCTGGGAGGGCTCGTGTGACGACGTCCGCCCCGCTCCGGGAGAGCTCTGTGATGACGGCCGCCCTGCTCTGGGAGAGCTCATGTGATGACGTCCGCCCTGCTCCGGGAGAGCTCGTGTGATGGCGGCCGCCCCGCTCCGGGAGAACTCGTGTGATGACGTCCGCCCCGCTCTGGGAGAGCTCGTGTGATGACATCCGCCCCGCTCTGGGAGAGCTCGTGTGATGACATCCGCCCCGCTCCGGGAGAGCTCGTGTGATGGCGGCCGCCCCGCTCCGGGAGAGCTCGTGTGATGACGTCCGCCCTGCTCTGGGAGGGCTCGTGTGATGACGTCCGCCCCGCTCTGGGAGAGCTCGTGTGATGACATCCGCCCCGCTCCGGGAGAGCTCGTGTGATGACGGCCCCGCTCCACTCCTGGAGAGCTCGTGTGATGACGGCCCCGCTCTGGGAGAGCTCGTGTGATGACGGTCCCGCTCCGGAAGAGCTCGTGTGATGACGGCCCCGCTCCTCTCCAGCTGCGGTACGTGACGGCGAGCACGGCGTCATCCCGGCCGGCGGCGCCGGGCGCGCCGCTGGTGACCAGGCCTGACGGCGGCGGGACTGCACCGGAGCCGGCACCGGACTCCGACGGGCAAGCCCAGGTGATCAGAGCACAGCGCTGCGGGTAGGGGGCGTCGGACTGTAGGCTTGAGTGTGGCGGGTTGGCTAGTGGCGAACTTGACGACATGCGGAACCGACTTTGGGGCGGTGTGATGCGCCATTTCCAACCATATTCTGGGAGCATAAGGTACACTTGCAAGCCATAGAGGCTCTTGGCATCACGTTTTTGACTGGCAGGTTTGCTCACGCCGGCCTTAACCGTGGACTTCTTGCCCGCTCGCGACGTGACGGGCGTTAAACATTCTGTGACGGGCGCTTCACACTGCTCCGACTGGCACACCTGTCAGACAAGAAAGTCAGACACCGCCAGTCCGTGGGCTGACGCATCCCCGACAGGCCGTGCTGTCTGAGTCCGCGATGCCGGTGCTGAGCGCCCTGTCCCACCCCCAGCCGGCAGAGTCGGGGCAGGCGGCGGCGCGCGGGCCACACCGGAACGGACTGGCCTCGGACAGCGGCGAGAGCACGCACCGCCGCCGGCTGGCAGAAGCCATGCGCAGGGTACACAGCCGCCTAGCTGAGGTGAGGCCGCGCCGGACGTCCGGCGGTGCTGTCCGCGTCGGGGCAGCGGCGGCAGCACCGAATAGCAGACCGCCTCCATCGATGGGGGTCTGTCCTGTTGAATGTCGGTGTTGGGCCTGTCCTCCGCTGCTTTGTTGGCCCTGCCCTGCACTACCCTGAGCGTGGAGCTGTTTCGAAGACCGTTTGGCCTTCCCGGGCTCCTTTGGCCGTCTCAGGAACCTGAGGTCTTTAGTGGTCACGGATTCTGGCGCCGCCGGACGGGCGAGCGGTGCTGCTAGGGAATGTTTGGAGGCATGCGGAATGGAGGCGCGACTTTGGACAGGCGCGCCCAGCCAATGATAGTCTCAAAGCGGTCGCGTACATTTAGCCGGCCCTAACCCATGGAATAGAAGCAACCCCTGAAAACACAACCTAGAGGTCCTGAATTTCCCAGACTTCCATGGGTGCATGACTCTTGAATCATGGTGGTAGCACGTACGGTTAGGATACGACGGTTACTTCAGTGTTCAATGTCTACCCTTTTCACGAGTTTTACTTAAACCAATCTAGTGTCACCTGTTTGATTATGGCATGGCTTTTCGTAGTGTGACAAGCATTCTGAATCTTAATTTGTTTTTGTTGAACTGCATCTCATCGTTGGCGTGACCCTCAGAAGGAGCAGCAGCCGACGGAGAAGCGACCAACGGCGGAGCGAGGCGCCACCGGCCTGCCCCAACCTGAGGAGCGGACCGCCGCGGGCGCGCCCCAGCCCGAGGAGCGGGCCGCCACCGGCCTGCCCCAGCCGGAGGAGTGGTCTGCCTCGGGCCGCAGCCGGCGCATCAACGGCGTCTACATCTGCGAGGTGAGTTTGGCGGTCTCGCGGGTTGGTGGAGGTCAGGGTGTTGTCCACGTCAGCTACGGCGCCCGGAGCACCGGCCTTCGGCGGCCACAGCCCCGGCCTGTCGGCCGGGCGACGCCTTGTCTACACCAGCGCGTCCGGCGCGTCTTGCTGCTGATTTGATGGCGGGAAACGCGGCCGTCAGCTGTGGTGGGCAGCATTGTTTTGGTGCGTGGTATGGAACGAAGTTACGTGATGCTGGCGCACTCACGCCGATGCAGAGGACCATTGGTAGCGGCTGATTTCGTCCGAACGGCGGATGGCACACGGCGTGCGTACATGTGCGGACGAGTTACAGCAAACGTGCTTGTCAACGGCAGACGATGCGAAATCTAGTAACAGCCAGATCAAACACGGGAATGGAGTTTTAAATTGTCGTGTGATTTGGCCTGTTACGTAAAGATATTTGCGTCACATTCATCCACTGGTGATGCAGTATACTTGATCGCTAATGATTGTGTAACAAGGACAGCACCTCAATACGCGTAGTGAGCTATGCGAATTCATGAAAGAGCACTGCCAGCCCGGGGGCCTGGAGGCATCAGGAAAGCATATTGGACTAGAACAGTAGCCGACAAGGGCGAGGGGAACACGAAACAGAACAAAGTTGACAAGGGACATTTATGCCATCATGCGTGTGGAGTGCTCTCATAGTATAAGATCAGCGGCCACCTACGTTGAAAAAGATATAATCCCTGTTCCACCAGCACGCTCGTGCCAGCAGGACACGTGCCTGCTAGTACATACATGTGATCGATTATCGTGTACATTAAACATCAGGACGTATGCTCCGAGCTCGGGTAAGCCGAGCGCTACCAGGGCGAGGCTGTCTCAGGCCGAAGCCGACGCTTGGCTGCTGCCGACGGTGTCCCGGGAACGGCGGGCCTGGCGGCCGGGCCAGGAGCGGTCCGGCGTGCCGACGAGCTGGCGGTGGCAGCCTGCTGACGACATGTTCGGCCGGGGACAGCGACCGACGCGCCTCACTGGGAACGGGGCTTCTGCAGCTCTCCGGCGTCGCGTCTGGCTGACCTTACACTGGGATGTTCTCTGTTGTGCTGCGCTTGGAGCAGTGTCGCGCGTCTCCGATGTTTTCCGCTGAAGGATACAGTTCAAGTTCCGTTCATGGTACTGACCGCGGGCGCCGTTCTCAGGTGTGCGGTGACACGTATGCCATGCTCCGGGACCTGCTCAAGCACGAGAAGGAGCACAAGGAGGCCAAGTACCCCTGCCCGATGTGCAATAAGTCCTTCACTCTGCCGAAACTCGTACGCAAACATCAGAAGTTCCATAAGGTATCGGTCACTCACTGAAGGCTGCCATACAAGTTGGTGTAAACGTCTGTCTATATATTTTAGTGCATGTATGTGTGTGTACTAGGGTGCATTGATAATTAGACCTCGATTGCTTCGACTTAAGTTTATTTTCCTGGGACCTGCGTCAAGTTTGCTTTTACGCCATGTGGTCTCCTGGTGATGTTCCTTCTGCTCCAGTTTTGTAGAAATAGGTCTCAGAATACAAACAATGCACTCCTTGTCAACCATTAAGCGTTCGATGCCACTGTTGATGGCCGCCAGATAAACTATTGAGCGAAAGTCGCTTGGACCGGCTCCAGCCGTCAGTGGCCCACCTCTGTCGCCTGGACCAGCTCCAGCCGTTAGACCTCTGTCGCTTGGACCGGCTCCAAGCCGTCAGGGACCCACCTCTGTCGCTTGGACCGGCTCCAGCCGTCAGTGGCCTGCCTCTGTGGATGAGCGGCCGCGTCTGACCGGTCGTGCTTCCCATCCCCTGCCGCCAGGTGACCACCACCTACCAGTGTCAGCAGTGCGAGCTCAAGTTCCGCTCGCAGGCGCCGCTGCTCGAGCACATGCACGAGCACACGGGCGACGCGCACTTCTCGTGCGCCACGTGCGACCGGACGTTCACCAGCGGGCCGCGCTACCGGGCGCACGTGCGCTCGCACGCGCCGCGTCCGCCGGGGCTGGCGTGCTCAGTGTGTGGCCAGCAGCAGGCGAGCCGCGCGGCGCTGCAGCGCCACCAGCTGGGCCACGGCGAGCCGCGCCTGCCGTGCCCGCAGCCCGACTGCGGCCGCCTCTTCGACACCGAGAAGCGGCTCGCGCACCACCTGCTGCAGCACATGGGCGAGCGGCCCTGGCGCTGCTCCATCTGCCACAAGGAGCTCAAGACCAAGTACTCGCTGCGCGACCACGTGCGCTCGCACTCGGGCGAGCGGCCGTTCGCGTGCGAGCTGTGCGCGGCGCGCTTCGCGCTGCGCTCCAACCTCATCATGCACGTGCGCTACGTGCACCAGAACGACAGACGCTACGAGTGCCGCGTATGCGGCAAGAGGTTCAAACGGCGCCGCCTGCTCACCTACCACGAGATGGTGCACGAGGGCCACCGGCCGCTGCGCTGTCCGCACTGCCCCCTGCAGATGGTGTACCCGGAGCACCTGAAGCAGCACCTGCGCACGCACTCCGGCGAGAAGCCGTACCGCTGCGACGTGTGCAGCAAGCACTTCAGCCGCGGCGACAACCTCAAGGCGCACATGTTCACGCACAGCAACAAGAAGCCGTTCGAGTGCCGCCAGTGCGGCCTCGGCTTCATGCGGAAGGTGGGTGGCGGGGGTCGGAGTCGGGAGGCGAGGCCGGGCCGAACCTGCCAGCTGTAGGTCAGAGCTGGCAGTCGGCGTACCTCGGGGCCCGGCGGCCTCCTCCAGCCGCCTGCCTGTGCTCACGTGTGCGGTGTTTGGAGCGGACGCTTCTGTCCTCGGAGGGTGAGAGTGGGGACAGCGCCAGTGCTCGGCACGGAGTGTGCGTCACACCAGGCCCCGCTCCGCGTGCTCGGACTGGGATGATGGCCACCGGTCTGCCACATGCACTACAGTCCTCGCCTCGCGGGCATGCCAATGCCAGATTGAGCTTCAGTTTACCCTCCCGTCTGGCGTCGCTTTCTCCCCCAGTGTCCACCCGCCGCGTAATCCATGCACTCGCCGACAGATGTCTCTGGTGCAGCACATGGAGCAGATGAACCACGGCGAACATCCGGACGATTATGTCATCAACCGCACGCTGGTGACGACAGAGCCGGCGCAGCCCGACGAGGTGGTGCACACCTTCGAGCTGGTCGACTCCAAGGACGGACACGTGAGTGCGCCGCGCCGCGCCGGTGTCACGTGATGCACACAGGCTGCCAGGCGACTTGCGTTCAATAGAAATGAATGGGTCATTGCCATACTGGTCGTCACGGACGACATTTTTAACGGGTGACGATTTCCAATACAATACGATAAGGAAGCATTAATACGCGTGTCCTACGAACGTTAATGAGTGATGCTTGTGTAGCAAACGTAAAAACATCGTTGCAACAAGCGTCAGTTATCGAGACCGTTCAGCCAGGAGCGCCGGGGACCACTGGCGACAGTTTGGGGACGCGCGCGGGCCACTCCGCGTCCGTGTGTGGGCGGCGTGTCTGACAACCGTGCCCCTCCGTCCGTAGGTGGTGATGCTGGTGAGGGGCGACACGCAGCAGGAGATGCTCATCGGGGACGGCCGGTTCGTCACCACCGACGGGCACCAAGTGAGGCCGACGCGGGAGGTCCGGCCTGCCGGCACGCGTCGCGCTGGGCCGGATGGCGCCTCTGCTGCCCACCAGCTCCGGCGGACCACCGCATGCTCCTCCCACAGAGCGGATCATACCGACTGCGGAAGAGTCTTCGGGAACGCGAGGGGCTTGCGGTGTCGTTCCTGGCGGGCGAGGTGCAACAGATCACTGACACCACCTGTCAGCCCGCAGACGGCGGGTTGCAGTACATCACTTACACCCCCTCCTCTGTCCGCAGACGGAGGACGGCGGGGGGCCGGACGTGTCGTTCCTGACGAGCGAGGTGCAGTACATCACGCCGGACGGCCAGCAGCTGGACCTAATCATCGACGACCGGGGCGACGCGGATGGCGAGCCGCGGCTGGACCTGGTGATCGAGCAGGATGCCGAGCAGCTGGGGACGCCGGCCGTCAACCCGCGCCAGGTCGGCCTCATCATCGAGCAGGCCGAGGCGGCCGGCGAGCGTGTGGCCCTGGTGCTGGAGGGCGGCGGCGCCATGCTGGAGGAGGACGGCTCGGTGCTGGAGGCGGGAGTCTCGCTACTGGACAGGGACGCGGACCGACCCGCCGCCATCTGCGACGCGTCAGCTGACTGATCGGCTGACCGGACTCACCAGGCGGTGCCGGGGAGGGCTGGGCCACGCGGGGGCGCCATCACTGGTGGTATGACCAGATCTAGGAACGCAATGCCTAAGTGCACGGATAGGCGGAATTTATATAATTTTATCGGAGGCAAGGGCGGCGCCACCGGGACGGGTGAGGAGGGGAGGAACACCGTGTATCAGCTTTAAATGCTGTTAATGAAATGCCGGGCTTACGATGTTGTATGGCAGACTTAAAACGCTTTCCGACCCATCCATTATCTGCCCGCCCCCCTCCGTAACGATCCGGCTGCTTCACCGCTGTCCGGAGCGGCCGCAGTGGTAGTCGTGTTACTGTGGTTACCGTGGTTACCCGCCGCTGTCGTCTGAGGCTCAGTTGGACGGAACAGTCCCCTGTGAAGGATCATGCGTGCAGTTACCGGCCGGTGTTCTATAGATCTCCGCGCGGGCGCCCTGGGCCGCTCCCCTGTACTGAGGCCGCTGGCGGCGGTCCGCTCCAGTGGGGTTCAGCGGGCGGCGGCACGCCGACGTCGGCAGGGCGGTACCGTTTCCCGTCAGCCGGCTGGCCGTGTCTTGGCCATCAATCACCAGCTCTCGAGCTTTTTGTGCATATCGATCTCCGTAGCGACCTCTGCGCCGGGCTGTCGTGCCGCATTCGCCAGTTCCGGGCTTACATAATGTACTCGTCTCCGCCGCTGATGCACTGACGGAGGCGCTCGTGGCCGCCTGATCCCGGCTGTAATAAATCAGGCGGGGGCAAACCAGGGATCCGTCGATGTGAGTGTCTGTGCGACGGGTCCCCGCGGCGGTGGAAACTGGCTCCGCTGGAATTACGGCATGACACGCTCGGGTCGCTGGCAAGGTGGCACTGTATCGTTGCGGTCACTGCCCCCCAGCCTCCGTGTTTTAAACGGACACATGTGATACTTCTTTATGCACACATTGGTAATCGTCTGGCGTGATCTGCTTGGTCCGTAGCGGGAAGGTGCGAAGGCCTTGTGTCGGTGGCATATGACTAGCGTTCACGAACGTGTGACGTTTTCCTGTGAGATACCGCGTACCGCCGGAAATACATGTCAATGCTACTGGTCCGCTTCCGGTGGCGCGGTCCGCAGCTACTGTGATGTTCCCGTTCCCATTAACTTGGAACGGTATGCACGCAGCTCTAAATTAGAGGCGTGCTGCTACTGACCGCAGCTTCCTCCTGCCTCGTCACCGAGAGCCAACGGCCGGCTGACGGGGCACCGTCCGTACGATTCAGCTTCGCGATGACTAAACCAAGCCGTCACCTGACGTCACGTTGCCAATGAGATGAACCCGCCGATTTGTGTTTACCTGCAATATCCGCCCCCGAATCTCTGCAAGCAGGCAGGATCCCGCCGGAAAGCAATGTCATGCTTGCGTTTTGAAGGAGTTGGGACTCCTCACCATCAGCAATGATCTTTTGTTCTGTTGGCTGCCGTCTCTGACGATATGAAAGCAGACTGATGTTATGCAGGTCTAGTGCTAAAATCGCGAACTTAACCCGCTGGCGTATTTCGATCACATTAACATAGATACTGGCAGAAAGACAAGCGCAACTAAAACGTTTGGCCGAACAACACTGACTCAGCTCAGCTGCCTGAACTGGGATGACGCGTGCATTCCTGACAGCATCCTTGCAAGCCCGTAATCATTTGTGCAGCCTTTGCCGGCCTTTTTTGACGACTGTAGACCAACATCCCCAGCGCGCCCCAGGCCTGCCAAGACGATGCCTCATTCCGCCCGTCCACACAGACCGGACCTGTATCAGTCACATAACAATGATATAGCGTATATTTGCGATAACGTCGTTATGGGCGATGAACATGATGATGCAGCGTACATGGCACGGGCGCTGATCGGCGAACAAGAGGACGCGGCGCGCACTCACTCTCTCCCACTCTCTCCAAATCACAGTCGGGGGACGGAATGCGCTGGCGACGGACGCCGGCCGCTGCTAAATCAGCCGCGACCGCTTCAGGTAGTGCACCAGCACCTGGTAGATGAACTTGTACTGCGTCATCGTCTGCACCATGAGCATGCGCTGCTGCCGCAGGTGGTGCAGCAGCTTCGGCACGTCCACCTCCAGGTTGTGGTCGAGGCAGTGCAGCAGCACGTCGCACATGACGGTGACGCCGGTGCGGCCGACGCCCGCCGAGCAGTGCACCAGCACAGGCGTGTTGCGACTGCCGCCGTGCGCCACGGCCATCTCGCTGGCGGCCGTCTGCCGCAGCGTCGCCAGCTCGTCCACGAACTGCACGAAGCCGGCCGCGTCCTCCGGGCAGCCGTGGTCGGCCCAGTCGGTGAACTGCAGGTGCCAGACGACGCGCGACTTGCGCGAGCCGCGCTCCGTCAGCAGCAGGCGCGAGGTGACGTAGGCGCGCGACGGCGTCGACATCTTGCGCGCCACGGTGAAGTCGCCGCACTCGACGCTCGTGTCGTCCTGCTGCGGCCAGTACGGGAACGCCTTGTCCAGGCCACGCGTGGCGTCCGTCAGCATGACCACCAGGTGCACGTTATTCTCCCAGACGGCCTGCCAGAAGTGCAGCACGGTCGTCGGCAGCGGGCCCTGCGCCGCGATGTAGAACCGCTGCTGGCTGCCCATGGTCACCTGCGGGAGGGGCGGAGGTCAGAGGTCAGGGGTGGGGTTGGGTTAGCAGCGCAGCAGTCCCCACCACCGTCACAGGCCGACTGCAGGCTACAGATTGCAGGCTGGCGCGCGCCCCAACGATACAATGGAAATGTTTGCCGAACTGAGCGCGGCAAATTGCGACCTGCGTGACATTCCTGTGATCACTACAGAGATCAGCGTACGCGCCCAGTTGGTGGGCGGATAATTTTAGACGTTTGAATGGCACGGTGGTCGTTGCTGGATCGGCCTCCGTGCACATTGATCAGGACACCACCTCAACTGAAGGGGCCGCAAACATTTACCCCAACAATCAAGATTCAAAGCTCTAGGTAGCAAAAACAACCTTTACGAATCGTTTCTTGACCCTCAGTTTGGACTTGAATAACTTTTCAGCACATTTTGTTTTCGACAAACGTTATTTTTGTCTCTCCCTTATATACAAACTGAACCTTCCGTTGATTTTGGTTCCATTCGGGGCTTTGGTGAAGACATTGCGGTCCACATGGCATCTTTTGCAAAGGCGGCTTTGACACACCGCACAAACACGAGCGAACACCACTGCAGCCCACGGCGCCGTGGGCCGCCGGCACACTCACGCTGATGTGGGAGGCGTTGATGTAGCCGGTGGGGTTGTCTCTGGAGGGCGTGACTCGCACCCGGTTGTCTTCGTACGGCAGCACGTCCCTGAACCTGCCGGACAGAGCGTTACGTCACGTCACGTCACGTCACACACACACCAGTCTCGGCGGCGGCGGCGGTGGGGACGACACGGATCCGGCTCAGACCGACCTGCGCCGCGCCACTCCGACGTCACAAACGGCGGTTTCGGCGGCGGTCGGATCCCCCACCGAGCACGGAATATTCCGAGACTAGGGACTCTGACGTAGAGCGTTACCGCGGGCTGCCATACCGCCAGACAACACGGACCCGCGTCTCGCCGCCATGCCGCGGGCGGGTCCGGCACAACGACAGCAGCCCCGCCCATCTGGCGCAGCTGCCGGCCGAGCCCTACCGACGAGCGCGGCCGGTCAGGGCCGGCAGCCGACGCCGATCAGGCCACGAGGCCTCCGTCGTCGGGCGAGGGATAGAGCGACACCGGACACGGACGCGCGACATCCGCCCCGCACCGCAGTCAATCAGGTCAGACGCCAGCGGACATCTGTGCGTGTTGCGTAAGGGTCCGGCGCATCAGCTGCAGCGGCCGCCCAGGAGAGCCGCGGTCCGTACAGTACCGACCGCGCCGCGCCACGCCGGACCGGGGGCGACAGCGATGACCAAGGGGTGCCGTCGGCCACCGCCCACCGGCAGCGGGCGGACGCACACCACCTCACAGCCGTCCGTGGGGGAGCGCCTCGCTCTTCGCGTCACAGCGTGGCACGCACCGCGCACGCCACCGTCGGCTTCAGCTCCGGCCTCATCCGTCGGTGGGCTAGTCAGCCGGGCTTACAAGGGCGTGTCGAAGGTGATCATCACTGTGCGACCGTGGTGCTCAGAACCACAGCTGGGGTGGGGAGGACCAGGGCGGGAAGGGGCTGGCGGCTGCTCAATACCGCCCGGCGATGCTGGCTGACGGACGGCGACCGGTGTGGGAAGAAGACACGTGCACGTGACACGTGAAGACACGTGGAGACACGTGTCTTCACGACACAAGACACGAAGACACGTGAAGACACGTCCTCCCTACCAGCGGGTAGCGAAGGTGGCGCGGCGGGGATGCAACTACTCCTATTCTCACCACCATCAGCGGGGAGACCAGGCACGGGGGTGGAGGACGCACCTGTTCTTGTTCTCGTTCTCGGGCCGGCGCGCAGTGGTGTACTCGGCCGAGTCGCGCTTCTTCACCACCGACTCGAACTCGCGGAAGAAGCCGGCGTTGCTGATGCGCGCCTCGATCGCCTGACACTGCAACGGACGGCGGCCAGTCAGCTGTCGCCGGCGGCAGCGCGCCACGGCCGCCCAGCCTCGCTAGGGTCGGCCACAGAGCAGGCGGCGCGGGTCAGCGTCAGGTCACGCATGCTCAGCGTTCAAGACAGAAGGCAGACAGCAAGGGCATGCAACAAGGTGAAATAATCAGCCACCAAACAACAGCGTGTGGAATTTGCTCACAAAATCAGGCTGTGGCGTTTGTTCACTTAAACCAGCTGCTCGCAGATGACTCGTGGAATACCACAAAAACCGCGTCACGCGTACTGAACTAAATTCTTAACATACATTTACCGCCGGCTGCAGGCGCGTTGCCTGCCTGAATCAGACAATGGTGTACCTCAAATGATGCCAAAACATAAGGCCAGTGTACCTGATTCTCGCATCACGAGCCCCTTCCCAGGCTAGCGCCAGATACCAGCAGGCTCAGCGTCTCGACACGGAGCTCACCGCGTCGGCCAGGGCGGAGCCGAGCCTGCGGCCGCGGACCACGGACGGCCCGGTCACGACCGGACCGGCGGCTAGGCCGCTGCACAATGTACGTGCCGCCCAGATATGGATCACCGGAGCCGCGGCAGGCTGCTGTCGGACGCGCCTCCGGCAGGTCCGGTCCGCTCCGCTCGCCGGCGCGCTGCGCACGCCGGACCCCGCCCGTCCCGTCACCTCCGCAGCTCCACGCACCGCTCCCGACAATTCTGCGGTGCCGCCCGCCGCTGTGGCGCGTCTCGAATCAGCCGCGACCTGCCACTGTGCGCAGCTGCAGCCCCGCCGGCCGCCGGCAGCCTGCCGACCGGCCAGCCGGCCGGCCGCCAGAAGGAAAGCTCGGCGCCCGATGTCCCTGGATAAGCTGGCGGCAGCGGGAGCCAGCAATTTTCGGCGGCCGCATTTTCCAGTCGGCCGGCGCATCCAGCGCCGAACGGCCCTAGCGGCGACCCAGCCGACCGCCCTAACGGTCCGAGCGGCGGACGTGCAGCGAAGGGGGTCGGAGGCGCCGGGCGCGGGTCCCCCAAACGCCGGCCGGTGGGCCCGGCTGGTGACGGGGCGGCACGCTGCCAGGCCGAGCATAACGGGACGGCCGTGGAGCCGCTGACGCCGGCGCGATAGCAGATCCACCGAGCGGGCATCTGGGCAGCTGGCTGGCGCGAGGCCGGTCGCCATTATGCAGTCGGCGCGATGTGGAAACCGGCCGGTGGAAGCGCGGAGTCGCCGAGCGGCCATGCCTGCGCTGCGAGCGGCCACAGCGCAGCTCCGCCGACGACTGCCGCACGTCCACAGCTCTCGCTCGCAACCAGCGAGAACGCCTCTCAACCTCCACCTCCCAACACACCACATCACACAGACGCCCTCCACTCGACCTCCGCATACATCCGCAGCAATATATCAATACAATACATCCGCAGCAGGCGGCCACGCCGCTCCTCATCCTCTCTCCGCACTCACCCTCTGCTCCCGCGGGATGGCCGTCGACTCCCGCTTCACCACCACCTCGGGCGTCACGGGGCCTGGCGCCGGGCCGGGCCCAGGGCCGGCCGGCGTCCGGGCGCGCGGCGGGCCCTCGCGCACGCGCGTGAACGTCTCCTTTAGCTTGCGCAGCGTGTTGGACTTCTCTTGCGGCGCGACGGCGTGCCAGCGGCCGCTTCGCCGCCGCCCCAGCGCCGCCGACGCCGCTTGTCCAGACTGGCAGCCGAGCCGGCGGCAGCGGGCGGCGCGCGCGCCGGCGGCACTACACCCAGCCGCAGCTCCTGCATGGCGGCCGCCGGGTAGGGGATGGCCGCCGGCGGCGGCTCGTCGCGCGCCCAGCGCGGCCGGCCGGCGTCCGGCGCGTCCGCCGTGTCGGCGCCGCCGCCAACGGCGACCACAGTACCAGCGTCCGTCACGCGCACGGCGTCCGCCGCGCCGCCGACGCCGCCGGCCAGGCGACCGCGCTGGATGAAAGTCGACGTTCTCGTAGATGGGCTCGTCGGCGCCGGCGGCCGGCTGGTGGAGGCCGACGGGTCCCACCGAGCTGACGCGAATGTTGCCGCTGAGGAAGTGACTGGGCGAGCCGGGTCCTTGCGGGTCGACGGCCGGCGGCGCGAGCAGCGCGGTCGGCGCCGGCGCGGCTCCGGGCGGCGGCGGCGGCGGCGCCGGCGGCTCGGCCGGCTGGCTGCGCGCTATCTCGGCCACCAGCGCTGACTGCGTGACGAACTGTGCCGACACGGAGGCCGGACCCGCCTGCACCGGGTACACGCGGTCCAGCTCCTCGGAGCTGAACGCCTGCTGGGGACCGGGGGAGGCTGTCAGACACGGCACGGCGCGACCCGCTCTCCCCGACTGTGCGCCACGTGGCCGCTGCAGCCCCAATCAGAGCGAACACCGACACCGCAATCTCTCACGCTGATCTGAACGGGAATCAAAACAAGGCTGGGAGCCTGTCTGGAGCACACGACTAACCGCACCCTGGGTCTAGGCACCCCATGCCCGACACACCACAGGCGACCCAAACTTGACACACGTCATTGACAGCCGGGAACCGCAGCTTTCCCTGGCGGAGGGTCACACCATACGGACAGCACAGGGAGACAGAGCTGGTCTCAGCCGCAGGAACAGGCCACGCCCCGAGCTGCGACAGGTCAGAGACAGCCGCCAGCCGCTGCTGGGCAGCCGGGGCGGCCGAGTCGGACACGGCGCACGGCAGGGCATGGCCGTGCAGCCTTTTTGGACAATGGAAATGTTGCAAGGCAGGATGCTTGCACAAACAGGACCACTATATTCTTGAATGACTGACGCAATAAACTGTTGAGAGACCCGACAAGCAAAGCAAAAACACGCCATTGTGAATATGACGCAGCGAATGACGCACGTGCAAACAGTGAATGAAGCCCCCAGCGCACCCAGCTCATGCCGGCGATATCATCGTTCGCGCCCGCTAGTGAATCAGGTCTCAGGCATCCAACGCGCAAGAGACGGGCGAAAGCTCATGCTCTTCCTGTCGCTGACGACATAGTTCTATACTGTTTCACGGGCAGCGTCACGATTCTGGCTAAGACCACCGGCTTTTCCGATAACACCCAGGTGGGCCCGATGACGTGTACCCCAAAATATTGCTTCACAGCGCCCGATAAGAGCCACAGCTTTACTCTAGTGAAACCATCGCATATGCATGGAAAGGTTAACAGATAACCAAACCTGGCAGCACATGACTACGAATGGAATGCTAGCGGAAACACGAACAACCTACGGCAACGCTCCCATCCATTCCTTGTGAATATGCATCAGCACCAGGCGGGCGCGTATCTTTTTCCCTCCCAAAACCAGCACCATCCGCACAGCCACGGGAGTCGACCGTCCCCGAGCTGTCATGGACAGCCTGCTCGGCGGCGAGCGCTCCGGCGGCCGCCGCGGCCAGCCACCGGTCGGCTCACTCCCGCGCGCGGGCCTCGGCCGCTCGTCTGACTCACGGGCCGCGCTCGCCGGGCGCGCGCGCTAATCTCCCCGTGGCGCGGCGCCGGCGCCGAGGCCACCGGTCTGGCCTGCTCTCGCGGCCCGCACACCACCGCGCCGCCGCGCGGCCGCCCCGCCGCGCCCGGACGTCGCCGGAGCGCCGCGGGCCGCCGTGCCGGCCGCGCACGTGCCCCGGGCGCGCCGCCGGCGCCGGCCTTGGCCCGCACACACGCGCGCCGCTATCCGGTGTCGGGCGGCGCGGCGTCGCAGTTCGGGCTCCCGGCCGGCGGCACGCGCCGTCCAAATTGGAGCGGCATTGAGCGGCGCCGGCCGGGAGGCCCCGGCGCCCCGCCGCGGCGCTGCGCAGCCCCCGGCACTGGCGCCCGCTACGTCGTCAGCGCGCGTGGTCGTTATATGACGAGGTGCCGACGTTACCCGGTGATGGGGAATCGCGCAGAGCTTTCAACGGCGCACTTACGAGCGTTTGAGGCCTTCATTAACAGGCAGATTGCTACTGTAGTCCTGCAGTCACTTGATAGGAGTGGCGATTCGTCATCAAACAGCTGACACTTGTTACCGACGGCAAACCGGTGGGGACAGAACGTCCAAGCCCATTGAAAGGTACGTAACCACACAGAGTTAGATCTCAGTACACGCGGACTGTCGCAAGACACTACATTTAAACCGGTTTTAAAGGCATACCAGACGCTGACAACACTGATCAGCCGTACCTAAACAAGGAAATGCAACGACACGATTAGTCCCAACTGACAGATGGCATCCGCACACACATACCTGTGTGCCAGCTCCCGAAAAATCACCACGGATCTGTCTGGGGGCCAGTAAATCCATCTCTGTACACACTTACCCCGCAGCGCGGAACCGCCTAGATACAACACCATCGATCCCACTCCAGTTCGGGTGGTCTCCCGACAGAACCTCCGCAGTCTCACGACAGCCGAGCCCCTGCTTATGCCGGCGTGACAGCCCACCGGGTCACCGCGCAGGTCCTGTCCCCATCGGGCCGCCGCCCGCCCTGGCGGCAGTCTGTCTCGTCTATGCCCTGCGGCGTCCGCGGGACGCTCACCTGCGAGTACGCGACGGTGTCGGCGAGGTTCTCGTAGGTGCGGTGCGTCTGGCGGCTGAGGCCCGAGGCCAGGCGGGGCTGGTTCAGCCGATTCTTCCGTGACACGAGGTCGGGACTGGAGCGGCTCACCTGCGGGGCAGAGCAGCCCGTGAGCGGCACGGCCGGCGGCGCTCTCACGCGACCCGTCCCGCCCGCGGCCCTCCCCCGTCCCGCACTATCAGCGGCGGCGCCAGGCACGAGCGGGCGCCAGCCGGGCCGAGCCGAGCCGGGCCGGGCCGGGCCGGGCCGGGCCGAGCCGAGCTCAGACGGCAGCTCACACCCACATTCCTGCCGCAGCTCGCCAGCAGCGCGGCGCGGCGCGGCGGCGGCGGCGCCTTCCGCGCCGGCCCGGCCGACGCCGGTGTCAGGGGCGAGTGGGCGCCGCCTTGACCCGGCCATTCAGCTGTCTCGGGGACCAGGTGCAGGGCGGACCGGCTCAGAGGCAGAGCCGGGCGGGACGCGCGCGCCCAGCCCGTGCACGCCCAGGGAGTGGGTGAGTTAGCGTCTTCATAAGCTCACTACGTGGTCAAACGTTCACCTGTGGCCTAGACCAATATATACAGCGCATAATTAGCGGCAAAAAGGTACAGGGAAAGCAAAATGGTGTCCGCGGAAGAGCATATGATGTGATTTGACTGCAAAAGTAAAAGCGGGTTGCTTGCAGTGGCGAAAGCGTACTCTTTCTACATCAGTCCGTCTTTTTGCTGCTGTCACACCTCAAACCCGTTTCCCCACAGTAAACACACAACCAGCTTTCAGACCCCAGCAGGCCAGCTGCGGAACCAGTACGCTGGCTTATTAGCAGCCGGTTTCAGTGACCGACAATTATGAAAGTAGCACCCCAGCTCCACCTTCACGCCTCCACGCACGAAGGCGAAAACGGCCGGTCCGCGCCCCGGGAGATACGACACGTCCTGGGCGTCGGGGTGAAAGTGCGTGACACGGCGCCGGCCGAGGCACCTGCGCCGGCCGGCAGGCGACTGGCGCCAGAGACGGCGGCAGGCAGAGCGCGCCAGAAACACGCGGAAAACCGCACAGGTGACGTCACCCGTTCGGGACGCAACGGAACGACAGCAGGGGAGGGTCGGGGCCGCCCGACCGGGCGCTCTCTGTTCAGGAGGGAGCGCCCGGAGGGGCCTCCGAGGGGTGTCTGCACAGGGGCGGGACGGCGGATGGCACGGACACCCCACGTGAACCTCCACGGACAGGCGGGCGGCGACGCTCTGCACCGGCGCATGGCGGTGACCCGTGACTCGACCCCAGCCGACCCGTACGGCCACAGGTCAGCCACAGGTCAGCTCCGTTACCCTGAGCGAGGCGGCCAGCGGCGACGACGGCGAGTCCGGCTCGGGCCCGTGATACTCGCGGCTCGCCAGCACACTGTTGGCCACCATGGCGGCGACGACGGCGGCGGCGCGGGCCTCCCCACTGCAGGCGCGCGGCACGACTGACGGCGGCGGCGGCGGCGGCCCGGGTCCGGTCGACCGTGACTCACCGGCCGCCGCCGGCCGAGCGGCGGCCGGCCGCTGCGTGCGCTCCCAGCCGCACAGCTGGTCACGTGGTCACCGGGATCGCGATGGCGGGCGCTATCTCAATGAGCGACTGGAGGCTGGCGCCGTGCGGATGGCGAACGCCTTCCAGACAGGTAACCGCCAGATGTGGCTGTGTGGACAGCTGACGTCATGCGGGCAGCCAGGCGGCGGCGATGGCTGTGTGTGGCCGCCCACAGTCGGTGGCTGTTCGGCGGCGGTGTCTGTATGGTGGCCGCGTGACGACCAACACTGCGACGTTCCTGTCACGCGGCGGCACCACAGACGCGTCGGTCCGGGCCAGGCCGGACTTCGATGAGCACCCGCCTCGCGCTGCCGTCGCGCCGGCGGCAACGCCGCCAGCCCGCGTCCCGGCCGCCCGCACCCTCCGGCCGCGGGTCCGCCGGCCGGCAGCAGACCCGTGCCGCGGCGCCGGCCGCAGCCGCACGAGCTGCAAACCGCAGGCTGCGGCAGACGGGCGGCGGCCCCGCTCTCGCAGCAGAGCAGGGAGGGCTGGAGGAGCGCCGGGTCCGGACACACGCGCACCAGCCCCGCTCAGGGGTCCGCCGCGCCGATCCGCCGACGGCCCACGCCGCCAGGAGGCCGTCACCAGCCGCGCGAGGCTGCTCATTACGAGTCGGTCTTTCAGCCGCGCCGCTGGCCGGACTTCACCCACTTCCAGGAGAGAGCATTCCAGCGGACGGCCTGACCGAGTCGCTCCGCCATAGCCCGGCGCCCGGGGCCAGAGCTCTGCGTAGCTTCAGGCCACGTCTGAGCCCGTTCCCGGTCGCAGGCGGGCTCGACACACCCACGCCCGCAACCGGCCCGCCGCACGGGAAAGGAACACTGTTCCGGTTCCGCCGGCGGGCGGGTTCTCACGGCGCGAGCGCAACCCGTCCGAAACGGCGCCGTGGGAGGGCGGCGCTGTCCGTCTCGCCGCCCGCCGCCGCCGTCTGCCGTGGGAGTCATAAATCCTGATAACAACACGCCGTCGCTCAGGTTTCCACAATCAACATTGGCGGACCGCACGGCATGCCAACGGAGCACCCGCTGCGGCGATCCTCAGCCAGTGCGAGCATGATGCAGTCACCGTGGGTGGATGATGCTGTGCGTGGCTCGCAAACTACTGGAACGCCCGCAAGTACACCGTCCACGCGGCGCGGCGGCATAGTTCTCCTCGGAGGTACTGTTCATGGCCCCCTATTAAGAACGTGGCAATGAGCGCACCCGAGCCGCCATGTCCATCGGGAATACACCAACGCGCAGCCGGGCACACAGCCGAGGCAATTCGTGTCGTGCATGTCGTGCAATCCTGCATCCGAGCTCCATACCAGTCCCCTGGTGGGTGGGAGGAGAGAGGCGAGAGAGAGAGAGAGAGAGAGAGAGAGAGGAGAGAGAGAGAGAGAGAGAGAGAGGAGAGAGAGAGAGAGAGAGAAGAGAGAGAGAGAGAGAGAGGAGAGAGAGAGAGAGAGAGAGAGAGAGAGAAGAGAGAGAGAGAGGAGAGAGAGAGGAGAGGAGAGAGGAGGAGAGATAGAGAGAGAGAGAGAGAGAGAGAGAGGAGAGAGAGAGAGGAGAGAGAGAGAGAGAGAAGAGAAGAGAGAGAGAGAAGAGAGAGAGAGAAGAGAGAGAAGAAAGAGAAGAGAGAGAGAGAGAAGAAGAGAGAGAGAGAAGAAGGAGAGAGAGAGAGAGAGAGAGAGAGAGAGAGAGAGAAGAGAGAGAGA